GTGTGGGGCTGGTGATGGCACCTGCAGGCCTGGCAGTCAGCTCTGAGAACAGCTGCTCTCGCCCTGCACACAAGGAATTCAGCAGCACAGCCCTCACCAGGACACACACAGCTCCCCCACAGCCAGGCACGATGCTCTCAGAGAACCTACAAAAAGCAAGCAGTTGGGTCATATGTTTTCCTAATTCAGAGGAAGCCTGGCCCAGCTCCGATATCTCACATCTCCTGGTATTGAGAGTGGGGGTTGGAAAAGTCGAGATCCATTTATAGCTGAAAAGTCTAGCAGAGGGCTCAGTGTTGTGTGGAAAAGCAGAAGCTGACAGCTCTGTACAGTCAGCTCCACCCAGCTGGAGAGGAGAGGCAGGCTGGGGAAAGAGACAGGGGTATGGAAACCTCTTTCCTTCAAGCTGGGAGTGATGGGAGAGAGGTGGCTTCCCTGCAGCGCCAAGAAGAGAAAAAACATTCTCTACTTCCAAATGCATTACAAGAAGCAGGGCAGCAGAAGACCAGTTTTGGAAAAACTGAAGAGTAGCTGTGCCGCAGATAGGGCCAAAAGCACTCAGGTCAAGCCCAGGCTGCAGGGCTCTGCACCCTTCTTCTGAGCCCTTCATCACAGCCAGCCCTGCAGCAACAGAGACCTTTATCACAGGGACAGGGACAGGGACAGGGACAGGGACAGGGACAGGGACAGGGCTGTCTGGGAGCGGTGGCTGGGAACTCAGCCCCACGCTCATTGCTGGGAGAAATGGCAGCTCCCTCACTCCAGCACATTTACATCAGCCAACACATCAGCAGATGTAGCAGAATGTCCTTGCCAGCCCTCATGGAAAAAGCTTGGCCCTGAGGACAAGGCACAAGTTTAAATCATCAGCATGCGCAGACTTATTCTGTGATGACTTCAGCTCCTCCCCATGTTGTCAGGCCTGAGAGGAGACATATTTATGTAGCTAACCTAATTTAGCTAACAATTATGCATATTCATAAGAAAATTAAGAAAAATAACCACTAAAACTGTGTTAAAGAGCACAGAGATGATGAGGCTGCAAGAAAAGCAAACACAGTCGTAGCTAGGCGAGGCAGTGAAATACCAGAGCTATTGTATAGGCACTGATAAAAGAAGCATCATGCAAAAAAAATTCTTGTCACCCACATTTAAAAATTATAAACTCAAATGAACAGGTGCAGAAAGGGCCTGAGGGAAACAAAAAACCTATCAAACAAGAAGAAACTTAAGAGCCTGGCTTGTTTAGCCTAGGCAAATGTAGGCAGAGAGCGGATAGGATTGCTGTCTAAATATATCACAGGAGACAAACAAAACTGCCGAAGCAAAAGTATAAAGCTGGCATAACAACAAGAGAATAAATGCAGTGAACATATTTAGCTTAAAAATTAGAGAGAGAGAAAATTCAACCCTTAGGACAGGAAGCTTTCCAACTGGAATACCTGGATTTAGGATGAAGTGTATCAGAGGTCTCATGGGGTTAGAGGATACAGTGCATGTGCCCACAGATATCCAAGAGGGCCTTTATGCTGCTGGTTTTGTTCCAGCTGGTAATTAGCGCAGGTCATTACTGAGATGTCTCCATTCACACAACAGACTTTGCTGAGTATCCAACTGGAGAGCCCAGGGCAAGCACGTAGTGCTCCTCTGCCCTCCCATTTCCTAAAAGCTGCTCACGAGTAAGGACTTCCAGGCTACAGGTCAGTGGGAGAGCGTTGTGTGGATGCACACGGGCAGAGTGAGAGCTAGCAGGCAGCCTGGAATGCAGGTGCTGCAGTTAGCAATGGAAAACACCCCTGAGGTGCCTCTGCCCAAACACATCTGCTGCCCCATGGTATTAGGGACAGAGACTGCTCACTGTCACCCTGTGGGTTCAGGAAAGAGCTGTTCTAAGCTGTCCTCTGCTGCAATGTAAGACAAGGAAACACTTCATCACTGGTTACCAAAGAATTACAGAATGGTTTGCATTGGAAGAGATCTTAAAAACCACCTTGTTCTATCCCCCTGCCACGGGCAGGGACACCCTTTGACCAGGCTGCCCAAAGCCCCATCCAACCTGGCCTTGAGCACTCCCAGGGATGGGCACCCACAGCTCCTCTGGGCCTCCTGTTCCAGTGCCTCAGCACCATCAGAGCATTGCCATTCTTGACCCTCAAACCGCAGCCCAGCAGGGCAGCAAGTATAGGCACAACAGCAAAACAATGTTCAGACTCTGAATAATTATATTATGGAATAATGAGGAGGTAAAAAGGGAGATGGTGAAAGCAAAATCCAAAATCTATTTCAGGGATTAATTTTTGACGAAGCTATGAAACAGAGCTTCATAAAAGACTAAATTATAATTTTCAGACACCGCACAGACGATGACACACGCTTTGACCTCCCCCGGGGAGCCAAGCAGAGCACGGCGCACACGAGAAGCAGCGACCCCGCTCCTCCCCGCGCAATTCCCGCACAGTTCCCGCACAATGCCCGCACTGTCGCCGTCCCTTACCGATCGCCCGCATCGCTCCGCTGTTTACAGCCGCTCCGCGGGGCGGGCTCTCCACGCCGCCCGCCCCCCCGGTCCTCCGCCTAAGGATGTCTGACGTTTCCTCTAAGTTTCCTCTTAAAACATCCTAGCCAGGATGGAAAATTTTGGGAATTTGTGTGCTTCCCGCGTCAGGATACCGGATGAAAAGGGTTGCCGTCTCAGATCCATTGTCCCACAGACCGTCCCCCCGTGCACTTCTGCGCATAAACTTGTTACATCAATTGAGTGCCAAGGAATCTATCATCCCAATATTCTCTTTTTATTTAAAAAAAAAAACCACAATTATTTTACAAAATCAGGAGTGATGTAGGACAGACATCACTGCCAGCTGATGTGTTTCAAATGCTGATTGTGTCAAACCACTAAAAGAATTGTATCTGGTGCAAGCTCACCGACAGCTTTATTATCCCCTACATGTCGTAGCCAACATTTTCAAATCCCCTTTTAGCCAGAAGGTGAGTACTTTGCACGTAAACCATATGAGAAGAGAGGCACACTGTCAGATTTTCCTTGCTCTGTCAGCACAAGGTCTGCCTCTGCTGCTCTGCAATATATTCTGCTAAATCAGATGCCAGGAACAGCTTTGACAGGACTTTCAGTCCCCAGACCAGTCTGGGTATCATGGGGATGTCTGCTTATCTGCACAAATTCTCCTTTTCCCCCTAACCCCAGGCAGGCTGACAGTGAAAAACATAATCCTCGTCAGAAAGCCATGATTGTCTCTGCAACGTGAATGGTAAATCAGGGGGAGGTGACAAGCATTAACTACACAGTGGTTTCCTCAGCCAGAGTGCAGGCTCTCACTTTACTTAGGTGTCTCCTTCCAGGGGAGATCACCAGATAATTTACTCCTTCCCTAGCAAGCAGCTCCTAGACACTGAAGTCTGGACCCAGTCCCAGCTCCAGTTTTGCACTGGCCATGCTGACATTTAATACCACAGTTTGCAACAAGCCTCCCCAAGCAGCAGGTGCAACAGACTAGTATGGTTGTTTCTTTTTTTTTGTTCTTTCCTGCACTGAGTTAAAACACAGGGAGATGAAACCTTCTATTAGAGCTTAAACAATCTCACACAGTAACTGCTGAAACTGGGACCACAGGCAGCAGGGTGTTCCATGAAATGGGGACATGGCTGACCTCTTGCCATCATAAACTGCCTCCTGGCAGCTCAGAGACTCATGGCAGAGTCTCATAAATATCGACTGGTTACTGCACAAAAAAATCCAATTCAAATTAAGGAGGGAGTCTAAATTTGTATAATGGAGCTGAAAAAACCCCGACCTCAACAAAAAAATAAAAACAAACAAAAAACCCCCACCCCTGTAACAACAGCCAGAGGCTTAGTCCTCTGCACAAAAAAAGCTGCATTTAGACAGCTCAGCAGTGCTGGCAGGACAGACTCTCATGCTGCCACGCTGGCCTTCCACCCAGTAACCCTGCTGATTATGGAGTTGGTGTGACAAAACAGCAAGCAAATCCCAGTCTCTCAAGATCACCATGACTTTAGCTGCATCTGTGCATTTTAGGTCCCTCTGCTGGCAGTCAGACTGGCAGGATTTTCAGCTCTCTACTATCCATGTTTGATAGATAATCTGCTCCCAAGTGAAATTTGAGCCAGTACAGAGAAACACTGAAGTCATGACAGCTCTCTACTACCTGTGTTTGATAGATAATCTGCTCCCAAGTAAAATTTGAGCCAGTACAGAGAAACACTGCAGCCATGAAACACTGCAGAGACTCCTGAGGCCTCACTAAGCTCCTCTGAATTGTGGCCACTCTGCTTATCAGGGAGGATGAGGGAGCCACCAGGCCATGCTTCATCCCTTACACTGAACCCCAGCAACAGTGGAGCAAAGGCTATTTCAGCTGCTGGCCATGAAATAGCTTTTCTGGCTTCAGTAATTACGGTGCAATCACCATCAAGCCAGATGTGCACACACCTCATTCTGTTAAGGGGGGGCAGATGACGTGCTGGCAGCTCAGGTGAGCCCTGACCATGGCAGAGGCTTCTCAGGGGTCAGATTTCATGGTCTGAGCCGTAAGGAAGCCTGAGCGCCTTCTGCTCTTTTATTTCAAGTCAAAATGAAATGGCTGGTGCCCAGTTACAAAACTTGAGACGGTTCTGAGGACAATAATCCTTTACAAGAGCAGATTTGCAACCCAGATAAATCAGGGCAGGCTGATGACTGTCAGCTCCTGGTCCCTTGACCTACTAAGGGTTTCTCTGAGCTTGCAGCACTTTCTGATGGCAGATGTGGGAAGAGGGTGGTGATTGGGTACTGGCCATCTCTTGAGAAAGTGGATCACAGTCAAAAGGCTACAAAATCACACATGTTACAAAGGTTGTGGATTTGTGGGTTGCGTGGCTGGACCTAAGGCACACCTGGGGTCAATAATGTCACCCCAGTAATACGGCCCAGAGTGGATTAATGAAGAAAAATGAAGGCACATGACTGAGAAAGACATTGCCAATTCAACCTTTTCCTCAGACTGAAATTCTCCTTGCTCTGAGGTATATAGTTAGAGGGAGAAAAAAAAAATTAGCATTATGAACAATCTCAGGGAGCAGAGATGCCTCCCACAGCAGGTTCTCTCTTGTGCCAGGGAGGCCTTCTGGGATACAATGCAACTCCACGCTCCAACTCACCCTGCCCGCCTTCCCCAGCAGCAGCACACATCTCTGAGAAGAAACTACAGAGGGTGCATGTGGGTGAAAGGAAAGCCCCAAGTCCTTGATTTGGCAGCTCAGAGGGAAGAGCTCTGGGCAGCCACTGGCTCGGTGCCCTGCAGGCAGCACAGCCTCCTCTCCTGACAGCCCTTTACTTTGGTTTGCTTTGTTAATTTTTCAGGGGGACAGGGGGGGAAGGGGTGTGTGTGTCTTTTTTCTTCTCTCCTTTTTTTTTTTTATCTTTGTTACAATCCTTTGTGTTTATATTTGTCACTGTTGGGTGAAAATGTTCCCGTTGTGGCAAAAGGTGATTTTGGCCGCATGTTCCTCCCAGACATGATGAGTGCTCCGAAGCCGTGCTGGTGAGAGAAGGCGTAGCCAGAGCGGCGGGTGCTGGTCCGGCGCAGGCGTCGCTTGGGAGAGGGTGGAGGGGGCCGCTTTTTGGCTTCTTTGATCTTCAGCAGGACCTGGGAATCAGAAAAGGAGGCGGAAAAAGTGGAAGGTGCATCATTATTCACAAGCACAGTGGGAGAGGAGCAGAGAAAGGGAAACAAAAGCAGGGATCCAAAGGTAAAAATGAGGAAAGGGCATCTTTATTCTATTCTAAAAGGTGTTAATGGCAGCGTCATCTGTAAATTATGGGAGGGAATGATTTCCATGTATTCCTCACTTCTCTGCAATGCCATGGTTTGGGTATGACTATAGGACTTTCAGTCAAATCACCCAAAATGGGAAAGTAATCCCAACAAGTCAAAATTCCAGAAAATAAATAAAGAAACATTTAAGAATTGGCATATTTAATATAGAAAACAGACTACTAAAGGGAGTTTCTGATACATAAAATATTTTTATGATTATAATGATTAATGTTATAGATGTTAACATATATATAACAACATATATGTTAACAATATATATAATACATATAACAAATAATGTTATAGGATCAGAGAGTGGCTTGGGTTGGAAGGGGCCTTGAGGATCATCTCATTCCAACCCCACTGCCACTATATCAGCTATATCAACACCCCATGCAACCTTGTCTTGAATGCTTACAGGGATAATAGAGAGATTCCTGTATTCCTTGGCAGATGGGAAATAAATACTGCACTTTATTTTTAGGTAGTGGGCTTTCTGCTCCCAGGTGGCCACTGAGTTAATCTACCAAGAACCTTTTCAGGAGGTCTAATGCAGGAGGTTGCTGTTGAGAGCCTGTGGCTCAACAGAACCCCCAGCTGCCAGACTCCTGTGCCTCTTGCTTGGCACAATGGCAGTGGCAGGTGCTTGGCCTCTCTGAACATCAGGCCTGTGTGCTGCCAGCTGGGGGACTCCATAGGGCTGGAAACCCACTCCTCTCCTGTGACCATTCACTTCCAAGAGGAGGCAGGGAAGTAATTTTGTGCTAGAGAGAGGGACACTCAACCTTGGCAGTGAGAGGCTGGGATTCTGGGCGACAGCTGTGTTTGACTTCTGCTCAGCTGGGATAAACTCAGCCCATTTTTACACCCCCCCAGCTGCCTCGAACTGTGTCCCAAGGACCTCCCTACCCAGCAGTCTTCTCTAGCACCCACCTACCCTCTCTGTAAGGGCTGAGAATTCCCCTAACGTGCTCTCCTACAGTCACAGAGAACGTGTGGAGCTCCACAGACATCCCGAGGATGACCAGGGAGGGCGTCAACTGCGGGGCCTACCCCTGGGGCTGTGCTCTGACCCCAATTCTCAACAGCAGCAGCTCGGTGCAGGGAAAGGAAGGAAGCACGAGGTGGCAGTAGCATTCAGCAAATGCTCCTGTTTGGAAGCGAGCCTGGGGAGCTCAGAGTGCGCTGATGTTCTTGAGGGGTCCCTTGGCTGCAGTGAGCAGTGCATTCCCACTCCACTCCATCACTCCCTGCCTCTCCTTGCCCTGGTGCCCTCATCTTCACATTCCCGGGGATGGGAGGGAAACTGGTTTCAGAGGGGGCATATAGCCACTGGCTACAAAAAGTAAATTCTGAAATAAATTTTAAAATCCCCAGCAAACATATATTCCCCAGTAGAAGGTGAAAGCCTGTGGTCTGCCAGGCTAAAAACTGCACAGCGTCAGGGCAGGAGGAACATGCCACTCCTTTGCCACTGAGCCACAGCGCTTAAACCCTGCACCTAAAAATAGTGCAGCTTTCCTGCCTCAGAGCAGTCTAATCCACATCTAAATAATCTCAGCCTTGGTCCCGGCTGCAGATGGTTTGAACAGTGCCAAACCCCACATTCAATCCTCCTTCTCTGGGGAGTCAGGGACAGACGGATGGCAGCAGTTGCATGGACACGGACACACACCCCAAGCCCGTGCAATGTGGCTCCACGGTGAGCCAGCCTAGCCCATGGTAAGCAGGATTTCTGGTTTAATAAGGTATCTCCTTACTTTGTCACTGGGAGTTGGCTTTAACTGGGCCTTGAGGAATCGAAATCCAACCACTGGCAGCACGCAGAGGGTGATGCTGAGGAAGATGGCCAGCCACACATTTGGTTGGCTGAGGGTGTTACGAGCCGTACCTGGAAAACAAACACATGATTAAAACTGTAAAAGCAGCACTTCCCACCATTATTCCCTGTTGCTCTCTGTGATTTCAGAGCACCTGGCAAACAGACCAAAATACAAGGCAGACATTGTCTCCAACAGTGAAATCAACTGGCTGTAGAGAGAACTGCAAAGCCAGTGTCACTGTCTGAGATGAGCAATGAAAAATGCAACGTCATGATTGCAGCAACAACCCAGGTGGACAAGGGTGTCAGAGAGAAAAGAGTGAGTCTTTTTCTCTCTGTCGAGAGTCAAATCACAGCAAAGGATCGATATAAACATTCAGGAGACGTTAAGCAGCAGCCCAGGACTCCAGTGCAAAAGGAGGAATGATCCTTTCTTGCTTCTCAGCACCATTTCCTAAAGGATATGGAGTACCGGCTCTGCCCAGCAGTTGATGGGAATCACAGCCCTTTGAGAGAAGCATGTATTGCTCTGGGGATCTGCACAGATAGTGTAGCCTAATGGGGGTATTGGCAGCATCACTGCCACGTGGTGGCATGTCACTGACACCTTGTTTGAAACCAAAGTGCTCACTTCTGGGTTTTACAAAACTGAGGGAATGTAAAATAGAACAAACAGTCTGCAAAACCCTCATTACAGGGGTTAATGATGCTGGTATTGGCAGTATATTTGCTGAATATTTTCTCTGCAGTTGGCCAAATTCTGCTGTAATACAACTTCACTGAAATTTAAGTAAACAAGTTGTCTTAGTCCAGACTAGAAATACTTTCCTTAAAAAGGGTTTCAAACTGGGACCTTATTAAGTAGCTCTCAGCATTATGGCTCCTTTGACCAAAGGAGTAATAACAGAGCAGCAGATGAAATACCCCTGGCAAGTGAGTTAGGATCATCATAGAATCCTCAAGGTGGGAAGAGATCTTCAAGATCATCCAGTCCAACTGTCCACCTGCCCTGGGAAACTGAACAGACATTCTGACTTCTCTCACTCAGTATTTCTGATTCTTAAAGCCATCTCAAAGTGGATGTGATCATCTGCTTGAAAAATATCTTGCAATAACTAACCTACATCTCAGATATTTCTAAGTTGGTTAAGCCCCTTGCTATTGCAGTGAAGTTAGACAAAAGTTTTTACTGAAAAAGTCAGTAAAAAATGAAGTCATTGATTAATACAAAAAATCTGAGACTTGAAATAAAAAGTGCTGGGATTTCATAATTAGAGACTCATAACAATGTTGTATATATTGGCTGTGGATGCACAGAGCTATCAAAAACATCTGAATTACTTTGAATTACTTTGCTTACATGTAAGTACATGTTCTTCCTGGTCAAAGTCTCAGGAGATGGACTGATTTTTTTATCTTTCATTTTTTGCATGTCTTCAGAAATCTGTTACGTAAAATAACTACAAAGACCTGATCACCACTGGTGTGTTTTGTTGTTGGGGAATTTGCCATTTAACCTGGCAGAAGGCTCACCATAATCACAAGGCATTTTTCTCATGTCTGACTGGATGTTGTACTTCTATGCCTTCCTATGCCAAAATGTTAACTTATTTACAAAGATCACATATCTACAAATAAGATGCTCCCAGATAGCTGTAAAAAATGGATATCTGGAACCCAAATATAGAAGAGCAGCAGAAAGCACTCCATTAGGTTTATTTTAAGCACCATTCCCATGACTGCATGGGAATCTTACACAAGGAAGAAAACATGACACACATTCACCTGGATGGGTGGGATTCAAAATAAATCCCAGCAACTGTCAGAAATGTCCGGGCATTTCTTGCAGAAAAGGCAACCAATATATCCTGAAATATACACAGAAATACTTGGAAACTTTAAGCCCTGCAGTATGTCCATTCTGAGAGCAATCCAGATTTGTCCCAAGGCTTACCAATGAAGGGAAAGGAGGCTGTGAAGATCAGGTACATGCCATCACTGTACATGGTGAAGGTGATAGCAAAATAAACAGACAGGCTGCCCCAGATGAAGAACTGGTTGACAACTGTCCAGTAAGAGGTGTCCAAGCCAATCTGAAAGAAGAGAGCAAGGCAGGTATTGTCAGTGCCTTCCTGATTTAGCAAATCTGTGCTGGACACAGCTTGTCCTCTGCTTTGTACATCTCCCCCTGAGAATGCTATTCATTCAAGCCTCAAGAAATAACAAGTCACAAATCATAACATTCTGGGAAACCATTCAATGGAAGATTACTACATTTATCTTGTTGTTCCCTCTTCTCAAGCATTCAGTAGTGGCCAGTCCTGGAGACAGGATACTAAGGACTTTAAAGACCATCCTGTTCCAATCCCACTGCCTTAGGCAGAGACGCCTTCCACTAGACCAGGTTGCTTAGAGCCCCATCCATCCTGACCTTGAACACTTCCAGGGATGGGGCATCCACAGCTTCTCAGGGCAACCTGTGCCTGTTCCTCAGCATCCTCACAGGGCAGAATTTGTTCCTAGTATCTAACCTAAACCCACTCTCATTTCAAAGCCAGTAACTCTTCTTCTGTTACTACATGCCCATGTCAAAAGTCCCTCCCCAGCTGTCCTGTGGCCCCTGGTAAGGACTGCAAGGCTGCAGTGAGGTCTCCCTGGAGCCTCCTCTTCTCCAGACTAAGCAATCCTAGTGCCCTCAGCCTCCTTAGCAGAGGTGCTCCAGCCCTCTGATCAACTTCATAGTCCTTCTCTGGACTTGCTCCAACAGGCCCTCATCCTTATGCTTTGGGCCCCAGAGCTGAACACAGTAAGTTCAAACAAGTCAGGCTTTATTTCCCCACTCCTTAGCTCTAATGCAGATTGAAAGTTAGAACAAGCCTGCAAAGACTTTTGACAGCAGGAACTATTATCCAGGGAAGCGTGATTGGTTGGTTTTCTTTTAAGAAATCTCTCTCATCCTGATAGTACCATATGAATTTTCTACCACCAAGTCTTAGCTATTTCTTCCAGCAAGTTCAGGCTGCGTCACACATACATCATGCACTGGGCCAGGCTGCAGAGACATCTCCGTAATGGAGAACCTATAAATAACTGCCTGATGGCAGACAGACAATCCTGTGCTTCAAAACCTTCTCATAAAACTAGAACATGTCCTTCTCCAATCCCTGCCTTAACTAATTTGTCTGTTATGACTGCAATCTTCCCAAGGCAAAGACTCTTCTTTCCTGTCACCCTGATCTTTTATAACATACAGATCTCCTGTTCTGTTGAGCTGAGGAGATTAATCTGGTGTCAAGAGATTTTTTTTGCAAGAATGAATGATGCAGTAGCAAATAAAATGCTGTCAATGGCCCTCCAGATGCTGCTATCATGAAACAACAATTAATTCCTAAAAATATTACCTGGGATGCCTTACCTGCACAGACACCACAATCAGTAAGCAGGTCTGGGCCATCAGAGCAAAGGACTGGTAGTCAGCAATGGCCTTCCCATCACTCCTCATTGTATTGTACATGGCCCCATAGGGGATGAAGAAGAGGATGAGGGAACTGTAGATCCCTTGCAACATGCACTTGACAAACACCACCTTGTTAAAGTAGAGGTTTTGCTGGCCAGGCACATATAGCTGAGGGAACAGCATGCTCCAGCGATCATCCACATCCTGGAAGCAGAGAGGAGACAGTCAGATTTGCTGGCAGCTACCCAAGCAAATACATAGACCCAGTTAGGGCTGCCATGTCCCTGTGACATGCATTTCCATGAGAAAAGGCCTAGCACATAATTCACTCTGTTGTGCTTGCTGACATGGTACATCCCAAGGTCACCTGGGCATATTTTCCATAATGCATTTTACCTTTCTTGTGCTAAAAAAAAAAAAAAAAAATTGACAGCTGATAAAAAAAGAAAGAATATACACTTAATCTAAAGCAGACTGCATGGTCTGTTCTCCGGAGAATTGACTGGAAGCTAAGGGTTAGAAAATACCTCCCCACACAGGCAAGGCTGTCTGACTTGTATCCCTTAAGTGTCCAGAATGGAGCACTGAACCACTGCAAAGTAACCAATTCCTATTCATTTAACTTGTAAAAGGCATATAGGAGAAGCTTTACTGCTCCTTTGTCTTGTCAAACAGTAACAGTGAGGTTGAAATTTGTGTGAGATTACCACAGGAAGAACTCACTAGAAAGGCTGAATTTGCAAGATCTGGTTTCAAAGATCCAGTTAATTAATTGTTTTGTCTGGTCATTAGGAAGTCACTTGCCAGGCTTCAGGAACACAGGTAGTAGGGTATGACTGCTCCAGGGGAGAGTTGCAATGGCACCTGGTGCTGCAGGCAGCCAGCCTGACCCAAAAATCTCATCACACTGAAACCTACAGGCCAAATCAGGATAATTGTATTTATCTCCACTCCCTGTTCCTCACAGGACTACTTAAATCCAAATCATATGACAAGGAGGGAATACACCTTCTCTCTGGTACAACTTTTTTTTTGTGATTTAAGTTCTCTCTGTCAGATTATTATTTCAGGGGTTACCACAGTATGTAGCCAAACGGTCAGCTGCTTTTGCTTCATAGAACCAGCTCAAAACACCTGACACAAAACCCCTATCAATAAAATCCCCAAAGTAATGACAGAAACAGTACCTGATCAAAGAGACTCATTCCTAGCACTGGGAGAGAGGTGTATACCAAATTGTAAAGTGTAATGAACCACTCATCATAGACAGTCTGGGGAAAAAAACAAAAACAAAGCAAGTGAATTTAGAAAAAAGTTGTATTTTCCATTTCTTTAAAAGTATATGCAATTTCTTGCCGCAACACCTTGGTTTGAGTTGTTACTGAGACAAAAGGGATGAGATGACTCAAACTCAGCATCCCTAAACAGAAGAAGGATCATATTATGCCAGCCCAGCCTGCTTAGCACCCGTTGCTGGCTGTAGCCAGAGCAGGATCCCTCTGCACCACCCTGCACCCTCAGCCCCTGTCTGTGTTTGGTTGGAGGCTGGTTTGCCATGAACCAACTTCCATTTTTCACTCTGGGTGTGTTCCTCTGGCAAGCTCCTGAAATTATTCATTAAAAGGGTGGTCAGTGTTTAAAACACGTGTGGATGTGGCACTGGGGGACATGGTTTAGTGGTGAACATGGCAGTGTTGGGTTCACGGTTGGATTTGATCTTGAAGGTCTTTTCCAACCCTAATGATTATATGATTCTATAATGTATATATTCTGTCTCCAGACATCAGTCCTCCAGCAGCAGCAATGGAGGCAGCAATATCTGCTTTATACCCATGTGTCTAAAGAAGACAGACCTTTGTTCAGTGAGGTGGGAGGAATGGCTTAGTTTATTTCCTTGTAAAATGTTTCCAGATACTTCCCTAGATGTAGACTTACAGAAGGGTTTTGGTTGGAAGAGTGCTGTAAAATTCATCTAAACCAACCACCCTCAAATCAGCACAGACATCTTCAGCTAGGTCAGGTTGCTCGGAGCCCCATCTAACCTGACCTGGAATATTTCCAGGAAGAGGGCATCAAATCACTTCTCTGGGCAACTTCTGTCAGTGTTTTACAAACTTCATTGCAAAAAACTTATTTGTTGTACGAATCTAAGCTTAGTTTGAAATCATGACCCTTTGTCATACTGCATTAGGCCCTGCTAAGAAGTTCCTCTACAGCTCTCTTGTAGCACTTTTAGGTACTGAAAGGTGCTCTAAGATGTCCCTGAAGCTTTCTCATCTGCCAGCTGAACCAGCCCTCCACCCTCAGCCTGTCTTCACAGCAGAGGCGCTGCCCTCTGATCATCTCCATGTCCCTGACAAAACCGAAGCCGGACCCACCTGTGCTGAGAAGCCGGAGAAGAAGCCATACCAGAAATGTACCAAGGTGAAGGCAAAATTCTTATAGAAGAAGTACTTGAGGAACTTGCACATGCGGATGTAGGACCAGCGCCCGTGCACCAGGAGCAGGCGCTGCAGGTAGCGGAACTGTGCGAAGGAGAAGTCGCTGGACAGGACCGCCTGCATCCCCTCCTGGCCGCTGATACCAACCCCGATGTGGGCAGCTGCAACAAGAAGTTGGTCACGTCATTACACCGAGAGTTTTCACTGCCCCATTTTTCAAATGAATTATCCAGCACTGAACACCGTGTTAATTCCCTCACGGCCTTCATCAAAAGTCAGAATGAAAAGTTACTTAAAAAAAAAAAAAATTTTGGTGCATTAATTCTTTCAGCAGCACTATGATTTTGGCTCTGTGATACTTTTCCCATAAGTGGGCTTTTATTATTTGAATGACATTATAGGTTCAGTGACAGTTTATGGTTTTTTTCTGAATGCTTTCCAGCAGCACAAATACTGTTGTTTATAACGACTGCTATTATGAAACAATAACTTTAATTTATATTGACGTGTGACTTTTATTTAACATGCATGCATGTCCTTCCAGGAGCCTTAAAACATCATCCCAGACAGACAAAATCTTCAAACCATTTTAAACCTTCTCAGACACTGTGCTAAAAGGCAGACTGTAGCCTCTTTATGTTTCCTGGGCTTTATTAGTTCAATCAAATAATAAGATAGAAGAGTCACTTTTTTTTTTTTTTAATAGTAACTTGCATTTATTAAACATGGACATAAGTTTAATGTGACAGCTAATTATACAGCTTTAACTAATGAATACAATCTTAATGGCTGAGGGTTGGTTAGATTCAGATGTTTCCACTGAACTGAACTGATAAAAACCCATAGTCTCAATCCTCTTGTGGGGGGAGTGGACTAGTTCCTAATTATTATGCATACTTTTTTCTCCTTTCTTTGCTGACTGCCTGACTTATCTCCCTTGAAGCTCTCTACTTAGCCTTTTCCTTCTTAATTAAGAGGCTCCAGTTAATCAATTCTTGCAAATTAAACAAGGAATATTAGTAATAAGTCTGTCTGAATAATCTTAATTTAATTATACCTAGTTAGGACTTTTTTTCATAAATTCAGTGAGGTAATGCAGCATCAAATGATGCTCATGGATGGAGAAGCCTGGAAGCCTACCATCTGTAACTCCAGGGAGATAATTAACAAACAGTCCTGACAGAAATAAATGCTGAAAAAAACACCCCACATAATATTATACAGAATATTTACAGTCACAAAGATTTTATTTCTGCTTTGAGTCAGGCCCTCTATGATCCAAACTGTTTGTTATATACATTGCCCTTGTGATGGTGGTCGTGCAGACACACTGATTGACACATCACAGGCCAAGTGGGCTTTTCATAGAATCATAGAGCCATTTAGGTTGGAAAAGACCTGTAAGATCAAGACCAACCATTTTTTCTGCTCTAAGGTAGAAACAAAAAAATAGGCCCTTAGTGCAATCTCAGCTCCTGAAGAAGTCCACAAGGCAGGAGACACAACTAACCTGTAGTGACAGTGCTCTGTAGAGAGCTGCCAAAATCTGGGACACAGACACGTGTTTCTACAAAGAGGGTGGTACAGGAGGCACTCAGATATGTGTTCCTGCTGCTAGCCTGCCTCAGAGAGAAATACCTCTTTGAGTCAGTCTGCTACAGCATGCTGGCTGTTGGCCATCACTCACTTTTGATCATGCTGACATCATTGGCACCATCTCCGATCGCCAGGGTCACGGCCTTCTTGTACTTCTTCACCAGCTCCACCACCTGGGCCTTCTGCAGCGGAGTCACCCGGCAGCAGATCACCACTTTGCACATGCAGGCAGTTCTCACCAGCTCCAGCTCCAGGTTCCCTTCCAGCGCGTAAGCCTGGAAAGGAGGAAAGGGAGCGCTCAGGGCAGGCTCGCAGCAACTCCTGGCCTGACAAAGAGGGTGCAGCAGGGTGGCCACGACAGCTGAGCCAGGCCCTTGCACCCATGTCGGTGAATACATCCACGCAGTCTCAGGGAGCATCCACACTGCACGTCACACTGTGCACCCTGCACCTACGAGCTTGCACTTTGGGTGCACCACATCTGGATATGCACCACAGCTGGATATGCACCACAGCTGGGTGTGCACCACATCTGGGTGTGTACCACATCTGGATGTGAACAACAGCTGGGCATGCACAGCACCTGCTCTGGCTGATGTAACCTGACAGAGGGCAGAAGTGTCAAACACTAAAAGCAGGAGCTGCTGCAGGGCCTGAGACAACCTTGTGTATCTCCATGTGAGAGAGTCTCTGCTCAACCCTCTTGGATTACTATTTAAGCTCTGGGAGATAAATAGGAAAGATTTCAATTTGTTAAGTGCCTAATTAAAAAAAAGAAAAAGTTAGGCTCAGGTGGGCATGATACAGCAAAATACAAAATTAAAGAGAAGACTGCTTTAATCTGAGTGCTGACCTTTTAAATCAGTCAGCTATGTTATTTCTATTTGAGAAGCACTGAGATAATTGGATGTCTAGTCGCCCCTCCAGCTCTGCATGAGGAGGAGGGAGCAGTGTGAGCTTTTCAAATTTCTTTCAGATCATGCTTTATGGCTCTGTTCTTTGTTGTCTCTTTTTAGCAGACATGTACAGAAGGAATCTACAAGGCTCACTCCTGCTCAGAACCATTACAGCAGGCCCACTGCCTTGTCTGTGAAAGGCAGACAGTCCTTAGGCCACATATTCTTTCTTTTTGAAACAGAGAGCTGTGAGTCACCAGTGTCCCCTTTTTCCTCTGTCATGGCAGCAGGCTTGCTCAACAAAAGACCTTTTCATGGTTCAGCCTGAGTACTGCTGGTCAGTGCAGTCAGAGATGGCTTTTGCCTCAATAGCCTTGCTGCACAGCACCAGCAAAATGTTACCATTTTGTATATTAATGGTGCAACTGCATACAAATAAAGTGGCATGATGATGCCATTATGGATGCTGACAATTTTCTGTTCACTGCTTTCTTCAGGCAACACCAGACGTGTGCATAGCCCAGCACTGCCCTCCCACCCCTCTACAGGCAGGGATAGAGCACTGAGCAGGTGCTGTGTGGGGGACAGTATCACACCATTGTTCAAGCTCATAGAAATAAATAAATGACATCTAGATTTATCTGCACTGTCCTTGTGGTCCCCACAGAGGAGAAAGCCATAATCTTGGTGAAACTCATTGTGTCTACTGTGTGGACTGGCTGCTCCCACACAGGCCAGATTGTGTGGGACATATCCCCTTGCCAGAGTGTAGGTGAGTGTGTGTTTTTTCCAGGAATATAAAGAAAGCTTTGCCATCCTTGCCAGAGGTGTTCTGCTAGCACAGCACTCAGGGTCTGCGCTGCAGGCTGAAGGGATGGAGTAGGAACAGGCAAGGGGCTTCCAGCTGATGTGCATGCAATGCACATGGACCAAACCTGACAGACCTCTTGTTTGCTTTGCAGTGGGAATTTAAAGGAGATTATGGCCCTGGAGTTCAAGGGGAAGTGACTGTAAAAGAGGGAGAAAGGGTACTTAACAACCTAGGCACTGTCTGACAGTGTTTGGGGTCTGTACACATGGCACATGAGCCAAAAGTAGAGAAAGATGAGATTTTCTTTTTTTTTCTGGGCTTGTGCAGAGCTGGAAGTGAAAATTTCTGGGCTGTCATTAAGAAAGGCAGCAGCCACAGGGAACAGAAGCACCTTGTTTCTGAGAGGCGGCACCTCCCAGAACTTTCTAAATATGTCTATTTGCTATGTCTATTTGCTTTCACTGAGATCTGGGAAAGTAAAATACAACAGATAAATAAACCTGACATAAATTAAGTGTTCCTCGCAGACAGGTTTGTATTGATCTAAGTTGTTTTTTCTTTCCTCTAACTGGTTCTAAAAAATTTCCTAAATATAGATAATTTATTGCAAAGTTTCACTGTTCTCACCAGGAAGACATTTCACTCAGAACTCTCTCATCTCAGTTTAATTCCATTACTTTGTTTACCTGTTATAATTTTGAAGAGTATTACCAAGACTGATCAGTGTTGTCCAGGCTCAGAAATCCCAGCTGATTCAGTTTCCCCCTGTGCTTTCCAGATTATGCCTGACTCAGGTGTCTTTGTACTCTGGTGTTACCTGCTCCCTTTCTAAGCAGTTAATGCAAACACTGGGCATCAAATAGATGTGGGATAACCCTCTGCAGATGACAGCTAACAGCTGTTTTAGATCAACAGTGAGGCCTTCAGAGCCACGCTTCCCAAGCAGTTTTTGATCTGTCATTTTGCAATTTCATCTAGAGTGTATTGCTTCAGTTTGCTTGGAAGAACATCGTGGGAGAGAGTATCAATATATTAGTTGAGTCATAATATCTATATCCTATAAATTAAGCATATCTATTTTCAGCTATATTTAGTAGAATATGTCCTTGGCATTGAAACCCACGTCTCATGTTATCTTCTTGCTGCAAACACAAACCTTGTTATTTTGCTAGTATGTTTCTAGAAATTAAATATGATCCAGCTACTCTATCCCTCTTGTTCACCAAAGATCAAGGCCAACTGTTCTCTGTTGCTGAAACATCTTCTGAACCATTGTCTGTCACCTTTGCTCTCTCAGATAACCACTGAACCTAGTCTTCAAAAAGGGGGGAAAAAACCCTTGTCCTCTAGAGCTGAATTTTTAAAGCATTTTTCAGATTTTCAGTATGTCTTGCAGTAAGTTCTTCAGGAAACTCATCACTACAAGGCTCTGAACTTTCCTTACCAGGCTGTGGCCAGTGATAACCAGACCATACACCCCATTTGCCTGCTCATCAGGTATAATTATTTGTTTTTTCGAAGACTTTTCAAACTGAATGTTGATTTCATCACTGTCCAGAAAAGAATCTGGCTTCATCTTTTTTCTTGCATTCCTAAAAAAAAAAAAGAAAAAAAAAAAATAGAAACAGGATAATATTGAAAATCTGAAAACCTTGCCAATATATATCTATGTTTTGTAAGAGCAGCATTATGGAAACAAAAATCAATGCTTCCCTTTGATAGTTCAGTCCAATTTTTACTGTATCCCTACAACACTATGCACTGTTTAGTTGCTGCTGTCTGCTCAGATCATCCACCTTTCTGAAACTCTAACAAGTTTTGCTAAACTTCTGCTGATTTTAAGTTAAACAAACCATCTGAGCGCCATGAAGGATGGTATCCCAAAAGACATCCAATTTTCTGTGCATGTTGTCTGGCAGCCATCTACTCCAAGAGAAAAGGACTGCGAACCTTTCCCATTTTCCACCTTTACCTAAGAACCTGTGTCTACAGAGGAGGTGAGGATGGAAGGTAAGTTCTCAGATACTGCCAAAAAATATCCAGACAAAAGACAAACCCAGACAAAGGACAGCAAAGTGAATAAATGGAAAGAGCAGTACAGCAACAGTCTAGCTCAAACCTGGAGCCAAAGCCTTTGTAGCCCAGGATCATTTGTTGGTCAATTTCAGCTGATACTCCCTATCTGTCTCTGCTTTCTTATACCTTCATTTAATTTAAGCTCTTTGGTTAAGAAGTTTCAGCATTTACTCTGAGAGGAGATTTCTACATTGTGTTTAGCTTCTGGATCTTCCAGGGAGGCAGCTCTCCCTTATCTAAGGTCCCTGAATGGACTGCAACAAGGAAAGCTGACAGGTAAAAAGAAGGTGGAATGATACAAAACACAAATAGTGCTAGTGCACAGCGCTGAAACTGTTTTTCAGCCATTTACCTCAGCTCATTCAGTACGTCATCAGATGTGCTGCCTTCAATAATGAAAACTTCTTCCATGTCATCATTCAGCAAGTTGCAGGAGTAACCAATATTCATTGCTGTCTCTGGGAAAGACAAACCAGGAAGATAATCCATCTCAGCAACCCCAAATTCACCCACTTCTGTGGTCTTTTTGTTCACATGACAAAAGCTCTCTGACTCAAAAGAGACTGGAGCCTTTCAGAGTCAACAGTAAAAGATCAACTTTGATGGATGTAGCAGCAAATTTGACTTCACAAGACCACTGGAAAAAAATAACTCTGCCAAAATGAAAAAGCCTAAAATACCCTTTGATCAACATATTTGGAGCAACAAAAGAACATTGCATATTGATTCAAAATTTTTTCTGGATTTTTAACTTGCCTTCTCCCTGCTTCCAGAAAAGCCCTAAACCACAGCTCTGAAAAAGAATGTGACGTTTTGTCCATGAAATTCTGGAAAAGATATTTTGGTATTTCATAGCAAAACTGTTGCATTTGGAACATGACAAAATGAAGTGTTTAATTTTTCTCAAAAATTCTCTGCTCGTGTCTTGAATGAAATTATTTGCAAACACTTTTGACCCCCCTGAAACACCATTGTTTCAGTGAAAATACTGTCTCCAAATGAATTCACTGGAGTCTATTTGCTGTTCTTTCCACCTCCAAAAGCCTATGTTTCCTCCATTTCTATTTGGGATGATAAGAGTCAGAAAGAAGCTGAAATGCATCCAACACCCACTTTAACATTGAAGTTTCTGGAAAACAGGACAAGGTTTTTTCCATCGTCTTCACCTGAATGATCAACTGGATGAAGGTGACACCTTTTCACACCTTATGTGAGGGACTATGGGATTCTTACTGTCACCTCTCCAAAGGCAAAGGATGCTGCCTTCACCCTGCTTCCACCCTCATGACAGAAATTAAGGACAGGCACAAGCTAGTCATCTGGTCTGATTCCAGTTAACTGAAATTTTGCATAGCTGGCAATGAAGCAAAGCTGTGTAAGTTTGTCTTCTGTGCAGTTTTCAAAGAATGAGAACACAGGTCCTAGCAGAACTGCCCCACCAGTGGAGAAGAGAAGCAACCAAAGCTGTAGTGCCTTTACCTTGCTTATCTCCAGTGAGAACCCATATCTTGATGTTGGCTTTGGCAAGAGTCTCAATTGTCTGTGGGACCCCATCTTGTAGCTTGTCCTCTATAGCTGTGGCACCTAGCAGCTTAACAGAAATGGCAGGGAGCTGGTTAAGTCCTCTCACTGCTACCAAAGGAGAAAGCATTGAACCTAATTATTTAAGCAAACCCAAATGAAATCCCCAGGAATAAGGTTGTACTGATTGTCATTCTTCCTCAGCAAATTTACTGTACAGAGTACAGCCCTGATCTTGCAGATGTTCTAGGCTCTGATCTCCCCAGGCTCTGATGGATTTTGAATATGCATGAGATTATTTGCAAGAATGTTTGCAGAGCTACAGGTCTGTGTTGTTCCATGTGTTCCCTTCACAGCAGATAGAACTTTATAGACGGACAAAGCCACTCTGGATCCATGTCCCCAAGCCTCCTCTGGTGTGGAACTTGATCCCAGCTGTGCTGTACTGCAGATGTCACATGGCTGCTAAACATCTTCTTCAGCCCCTAAAAGACCTGTCCCCACCCCTGGTCCACACTGTCACACAGCTACACCCCAGACTGTTCAGGATACAAACCTTCATTATTTTTAAGTTACTGCTTTTTCTCCTGTTTGAAGGTAGCTGGTGGCTTTGAACTGTTGTCAAAGAGACATGGAAGTTTCACTGCTACCTCAGGTATCACTGCTACCACCTACCTCCTGCTGCTTGGAGACTAAATTCAGTGGTTAGCTTTAAGCCTGGGATCCCTTTTGGCATCCTGAGATGTCCATCATACCTCAAGTATGAGCGTTATCAATGTAGGTAACACCTCTGAGGGAACTTCTCTACAGGGTCCTCAAAACTGTACAATCCCTGTTTTACAGTAGTTCCTGATCCAGCTACAGACCATGCAACTTCCAAAGGCCAACCTTTCCCCAGCCTTTTCACACTTGCTCCTTCCCTGAGCACTGCTGGCATTCTGAGCATACAGCTAATGGAAGGAGCAGCAGGATTTCCGGGGTTTCAAGAAAGCACTGCCACGAGTGCAGAAGCTGGATTGCTTCTCTTCAGATCACACACATGCTTTTCATTCATTATTCATGGCTCTGAAACACAGGCAAATCCTCCAGGGCATTTAAAAACTGTAACAACACTTAGGGAGAGAAGAATGACCCAAAGATCACAGTTTAGCTCAATTTCAAATTGACACAAACGTGTTCATGGATATCATCTACCCATCCTGCCCAGGGCTGGAAGAACAAAGGAGACACTCTCATGGGCACTAGGAATTATTCACTGCCTGCCATTTCAAAGGCTGGAAAATAAGTAGATCAGCCATTTGCACATACAAAGGATAGCTATGAAATATTTGTGCCCACGTCATCTCCTGCAGGCTCTGGTATATCACTTCATCACGAGAAAGCTACTCTGACACCCACGTGAGTTAAAATAAAACCATTCCCTTGAACTGGTGGCTGACACGCCAGTTATGGGCTCCTGATGGAAGTGCCAGTGAACACGCAGGGCTGCCGTGTTCTGACCTGCTCCTGTCACACAGCCCACTGAGCTGTTTGCAGAGCGGTGTTTAGCAAAGTCATGCTGAGCTGTTTATTGACAAACCACCACCCTCGCTGCCTCCCCCAGAGCCTGGCCCAGATTCCCTGAATTACTAACCATTAGGTCTTTTTCAATCTCCTCATACAACTCTGACAGTTTGTCTTCCCGTCCTTCCAAGGCAGTGCTTGCTTCATGGTGACGCCTGATCCAGTCCTGAAAGTAGTCTTCCTCCAAGCTCTTATAGGCCACCACGAGTGTCCTCAGGCCTTCCCCAGCAAACTCCTGCAAGACAGTGGTAAGAGAGAGAATACAAGGTTCAGGAAGAACAGTCTGGTCACCTAGGCTTACAAAGGACCTTCAGAAATCAGACTGGTAAAAGCATCTTGGTAAAGTTTGTGGAAGAAAGGTAAAAAAATGACACCTTAGGCCACAAATGTTGGGGTATTTTAAATAGCAATTCCAGACCACTTTATTATTACCATCCATGGTCTTTATGGAAAAAAAAAAAAAAAGACTCAAAAGGGCTTTTCTACCCTCTGGCTTTTAAGCTTTACACTTACCAGGCATTTGCTTCTCAGGTTTGTATTTCTCAACAAGAGGTCCGGAACAGTGAGACCTAAATAAACACTGAACACAGCCTCAAACTTTGGATGTGGGTTCAACATTTTTAGGTGGGCTCAGTTGTTCTTTCTAATGGACAACATGGAGCTCAGTGTTTGGTGGAACAGCAAAGATGCATTTGTGAAATGCATCTCTGGGAGGTTTTTCCCCAGGCTTGAAGTAAAGGTGCATCAGAAACAGGTCACAGGTCTTTAAATGTCATGCACTGGATTTGCCATCTTTGTCCATATTACAGAATCATAGAATGATAGAATGTCTTGGGTTGGCAGAGACCTTAAAGATAATCTCATTCCAACCCCACTGCCATGGGCAGGGACACTTTCCATGAGACCAGCTTGCTCAGAGCCCCATCCAACTTGGCCTTGAACACTTCCAGGGATGGAGCATCCACAGCTTCTCTGGACAACCTGTTCCAGTGTCTCATCACCCTCACAGTAAATAAATTATTCCTAATAATAAATCTAAATCTTCTGTCTTTCAGTTTAAAGCCATTAACCCTTGTTTTATCACTACATGCCCTTGCAAAAAGTCCCTCTCTTGTAGCCCCTTTAGGTAGTGGAAGGTGTTATAAGGTCTCCCTAGGGCCTTTTCTTCTCCAGGCTAAAAAAACCCAAATCTCCCAGCTACAGGTGAGGTGCTCCAGCCCTCTGATTATCTTCATAGCTATAGACTCACTCCAAAAGGTCCATGTCCTTCTTATGCTGAGGATCCCAGAGCTGGACAGTGTTCCAGGTGAGGTCTCACATGACAGAGCAGAAGGACAGAATCACCTCCCTCGATCTGCTGACTGTCCTGGAGCAGTTCACATGGCACGTGGTTCTCATGCCTATGCAAATAATTTGAGACCTAAGGCCATAGGAACTAATTTGTTTCTCTATTCCATAACTTAAAATTGGTGCCTAAGTACTGTTTCTAAAATCTGGGTGTTTTTTTCCTGAAGACAAGGTATGCTGGAGAAAAGTAAAACATCAAATGCAGAGATGTTGTTGAGAAGGAAGCTCTTACATTCAGGTGTTCTGTGGTCTCCTCTTTGAGAGAGTTGCAGGATGGATGAAGCAGTTCATAAAGAATGGTGTCAGCCCCCTTGCAGTACAAAGTCAAGTCACCTTCTGGACTCTGCACTGTGAGGAAGAGGAAAAGAAATGCTACAAATCTCAGACTGAGACTTTTGGGGTACAAAGCCCTTCCATCAAACCCAAGAACAGTTTCTACAGGTGTCTGAATTTCCCTAAGTTTTGGCAAACTCCCAGGAATCAAGACAAGCTCTGCTTAGAAAAGAGAGTGCACTGGTCTGAGCAGACACTACGTTGTCCCTACAGGCAGAACTTCACTAAAAAGTGAAGAATAATTTGTTTTTAGGGAACTGGTCCTACTTCTCCTATTTTCCTACCAGTAAACTGTAACTACAATTACAATATTCCTGAAATATTAGAGTAAGTTGGAGTGTTAATAAAGGCTGCAAAAACTTTCTTGAATAATTTCTCCATTTTCTGTTTGGGAGAAAATGGAAATTTGTTTATTGGAAAAAAAACCCTGTTTTCTCAGTTTATTCTTGCTTTCTCTGGTCCTACTTCCTCAAATTTCACTAAAAATTTAAAAGCTGATTAGAAGAAAGGCCTTTCCTGCATTGTAATGAGGGGAGCAAGATATATGAAAAGCTAAGTGTCTTTAGGAGGTTGGCTTGCATCACTGTGGTCCAGATGTTGACATTTATCCCACCTGCCTCCTTTAAGTATTTTTCTGGCACTGTTGCTGTGTAATTATAAAGTCAAGACAGCCCATCTCAAGTCGTCAGAAATAAATGTTGCTCAGAGCACATTGCAAAGGAGGTCTCCTAGAAAAAGTCTGGATCACACCAGAATGAGGGACAGCTCCGGAACCTAAAAACTCAGGAAGGAAAGAAAGCAGCAAAGGGAACATACCAATCACAGACATTCGCTTGCGAACGTTGTTGAAATCAAGAATAGCCAGAAGTTTGTAGACTTTTGTTTCTCCCATTTCCACAACAGTGATGGTCTCTGGCGTGCGAGCTCGGAACACAAATCCAAAGTTTCTGGCAGCAGTGACTAGGGCTCCCTCATCAGGAGACTGTGCTTGATACACCAAGTTACCTGACATGCAAGAAAAAAAATGTAATGTGACTTTTGACTTATTTCTGAGCTAAAAAAAAAAAAAAAAAAAATAAAAAAAAAAACACCCAAAACAAAACAAAAAAAAAACCCACAAAACAAACCAAAACAAAACAACAACAAAAAAAAAACCTCAGAATCTAAAATATAATATAGCAGTTATCCCTTTGCTTTTCAGTCTACCCATAGATGTACAACACTAAAAAGCACTTTATGTCTACACATCTCCATCATGTCCCACCAACCCATCCTCCAGGACAGTGCAAGAGGCCCCCTGGATTCTTTTGGGGATTTTAATCACTCTCTTTGGAATCTAACATTTCACTGAGAGGACAAGTTCCTTGAATTTAGCTCCTTCTAGTCACATCTGCATGAATTTTTCTGCTCAGTATTTTCACTTTATACCTGTCAATTAATTCTAGCCTTTAAAGCATGGCTTTCATCCTGTCTGGGATTTGAGGAGGCTGACCTAGTAGCTGTTGGAACACTGGGTGAGTAGAGCTAATGAGTCTCCAGTGGATAGGTACTCTATGTTCTTTGCATTTTGGGGCTAGGAGAAGAATAGAGGGAGAGCAGGGCAAGCCTTTGCCACCTCAGGGAAGCTGTGGCACCTGCAATTTCCGCACTCCAGAGATGTGGTGTTTGCAGTAGTGTCAGCTCCACCATAGGAACACACAGGGAGTGGAGCCCTGGTCATTTCTCTTCCCATGTGGCATCTCCAAAGACACTGATTTATGTGTAGCCATACACTACAGAAAATCACCAGGGAGCCAAAAGGACCAATAACAGCTTCTGTGGAGAGAAGACATGCTGTGGTGCGAGTGAACATAACCACTCATTCCAGTGCCTTCAATAGTCCTCACCTTCCTTCTTCTCCTCCGGCATCACCGTGTGGCAAAGGGAGAGCAGCCGGAAGAACCTGTGCGTCGGGACATCATTCAGCTTCACGGCTTCAACCAGGCTGTGGTCATAGAAGGCAAACTTTGGGTCGGCTAATGGGTTGTATGAGAAATCAACCTTCTCTGTGTTCTGAAAAAAACATGGCATGGTATTATTTGTTGAGATTTCACATGGCTCTACACCAATTCCTGCCACACTGCCGCTGCCTCCTCCTCACTTTACAGAGGACTCCATCCTGCAGGGCTGGCTGCTCATGGCAGAGATTGGTGGATTTAAGGAAGTGGGAGGTCATGAAAGGTATTTAATCATAGGACAGGACAGGCACTATATGTGCCTTTCAAAGCAGCACTCAGGCTAAGAACCAATTAGCTAAACTGCCTCTCTGAGCAGCAGCTAATGCTCCAAGAGGAGCCCTGCCAGTGGATGCCTACAGCAAAGTGCCTGCCTTCAACACATGCCTGCTTGGAAGCATCGTGCTCACGATGTCAAAAGCTGCCTGTGAGAGTGGAATGCAGGAGCCCAGTTTAAAACAATTCAACAGTCTGTCTTATCCACCATGTTCTCCTAAAGCCAGAAAAAAAATTCTGATATGGAAAAAACAGGACAGGCAGGTGAAGTAAAGGTTAAACTCCACAGGAACTACCCATTTTGTCAAAAAACAAGGAGCCCCAAGCAGAGTGGAACACAGTGGAGAAATGTCCAGAAGCTTACCACATGATGTGTCATGGAGTAATGGACTGCCAAGCCTGCCTTGGACAATTCTGACTCCCACCCCATCCCTGATGAGCTCAGAGTTTCCAGGATGGGAATCATCCTTTTGACCTCTGCACACTGACATTTAGCACTCAGTCCAAGAGCACAGACTGACCCCTCCCACACCCGTCTGCGCAGCAAGGTCCAGGCACAGCAACACTGTGGGTGTGTGGGCCCCAGGACTCTGCTCCAGAGAGTGTCACCAGCAGCAGGGTGGGGTGGACAGCTGGCAGGAGTCCAGTGTGTGTCACCAAGCAAGGCTGATGGAGAGAGGGCAGGCTGGAGGCACAGTGCTCAGCACAAACAGCCTGTTTCAGTGGGCAATTTAAGTTCTAAGTGGATTGGAAATGAATCATTGGAATGAGGAGTGGGATTTTCATCATCATCTTGCTGTTTGTTATTTGGATTACTGCATGCAGCTTTCAGACATTTTTGAAATGAAGACATGCATTTATGCCTGCAAGCAGAGGCTAAAGAAAAATGTAAAAATGACACATTTTTACACTTTCTGAAGTCTGGACATCAGAGGAATTTGACAGTGACCTCGCTATTGGTGTGAACTGCAGTTACTAATTCCTCACTAAAGGTTCAATTAACTGACAAGGTTAATAAAATTCACTGATGTCCAAGTCTCCAACAAGCACCAATAGTCAAGTGCTCGAGAGAAGCTGTGCATGCACCAGGATGTCAGGAGAAGCAGAGGGGACAGAGGGCTGTTCCCAATCTGCAGGTTAGACCCAGGCTTACCAGAAAGGAACTTAACTCTGGGAATTCTCTGACATCCAGAGGAACACACACCTATGTTTTGAGCATCAAGAGCATCAACTCTTGCAGGGTCAAAAACATAACCTGTGCAGTGTTCTGTCCACTGATACTTATCCAGGTCTACTGAAAGCACAGATCCTGATAGCACTTGAGCACTTACCTCATTTATTTCTATTCTTTGCCCAGACATATCATACACATCACCTGCAAGCAAGAAAGATGAAATTATAGCCACAAACTGCAGGTAAGTGCAGTCTCTGAGCCACAAAATTGAGTAAAGTGTTTCTAAGTCAGAATCTATTTTAAAAGTTTCAGTACATTGACATGGGCACTGATGACTGATGATACATAACAATCAGTTTCTATGTTGGTCCATGACAGAATCTGGAGACTGATAAGATGCTTGAAACACAAAGCAGTTACCATAAAAGTGACTGGCTTTTGATTGAAAAATACTTGTCTTGAGCTGAACACAGAGAGAATAGGGTTTCTAGTGCTAGGTAGGAAATGAAAGTGCTTCCAGGGGATGACTTCTCTTGTGCCTTCTCTTTCAAAATCCAGCTCCTGGATCCTACTATTTGTAGCAGTCCCTGGACACCCACAGAAAAGGAGTTTCCACAGCCAATTTCTCCCACACCTGGGTAGCAAGGCTGCTCTGTTGATTCTCCCTGAATGGATGATCTGGTCATAGGAATTGAAGACAAGTCATCTCCAAGAAATATTGTTAGAACTTCTGCCCGGAGAAAAGTTTCACTAGGAAGGTCTGGACTGTCCCAAAGCCAGCCAGTCCCAACACTTCATTGAAATAAGACTGAAATGCAACGAATTAGAGGAATCATTCACTCATGTTTGCACCAGCAACCCCAATTGTGACCAAAGTCAATTGTAGTGCTGGTGTGCCTTCATAAAGGCCCCAGGAGTGTAAAAGACACACAGTAAACACCTCCCCTGAGAAACTCTGCATCAGCTGATTCCCTGGGAATCATAAGCAGGAGGCTTTTGTGTCCTTCCTTTAAGCCTCCAGAGATGAGCAGAACTAAATCATCCTTTCTGGCATTCTTTCCAGAATGCCCCTGAGCAGCAGAGAAGTACTGTGCTAGGAAGAAGCTAAACACTTAGAAAACTACAGGCAATAGATTGTTTGCCTTCTTTGCATGTATTTCCCATTCATTTCTTGAACCCTTACCCTTTATCTATGTTGGTGGTGACATGCACTTCAGGAAAGTCAACTATGAACACTTGATAGGAGAGATTTCAAACTCCTTATTAGCAGTACTAATGTATGATAGTAACTGTTTGAGATGAGGTGGTCTCCAAATATGCACAGATCCATAGGAAGAAATATTTTCTTTTATTAGGTCAGCTGATAGCACTGAGATAAGATGCAAACTCTCTGGCAAATTAGTGCATCAGCAGGTCTGACACAGGCAAAGCAATGATCCATATACAAATAAGCAGTGACTAATTTCTCTGTGGCATCTAATGATGTTAATCAATTAGGCAGTTTACAAAGTGCTAGCACCTTTTGAGCAGTATGAAGAAAACCACCTGGAGCCATAGCATGAACAAACCTTTTATATCAATAACTTCTGGGATCTAACAGAGCTAACAACTCATGTTTCCCATTTTTTCCAACTGCCTACAAACTTTTCTTTCTTCTGATAGCTGAAGAATGTCAGTGTAAAGACAAAGACCTGGTCACTGACTACTCCAACTACCTGAAAAGGATGTGGAAAATCACTGCTCATGACAAGAGAAATTGCTGAGAGACGACAGTGTGAGAAGCTGACAAAATTTGCAGATGAGGCCCATGAGGGATGGCTGATTTCATAAGTGATTAGGAGGGAGTGAGTTATGTGAGTTACATATTATATTTTGCAAGGTTAGCAATACCTAGCTAACCATGCTAATAATTCCATAAAAAGCTGTGATGACCTAACTAGTGATACAGAAAAAAAAAACCAAAACAAATTTGAGTACAGATATTGTAAATCTGGGACAAATGAGGCAAAACTAATAGTGTTGGGGCAGTAGTGGGGCAGAAAAAGGGAGATAAAAGTGAGAAAAAAGGGGGAACAATTAATACATGGCAAATCATACAGTCAGGCTGTCCAGACATCCCTGAAGGGTAGTCTTACACTTGATCACTGAAGCTCCTCAAATGGCATTCTCTTCTGCATATCAGATTTAGTCTCTGTGGATGAAGAGGCACACAGTGAAGAAAACCCAGAGAGTAAGACAAACATACCATAGGATTTGCCATTGATGGAGCACTTGTTGAAACACATGATGTTCTGGGTGAGAGTTCCTGTTTTGTCTGAGAAGATGTACTTGATCTGCCCCAGCTCTTCGTTGAGTGTAGTGGTTCGAGCCTGAGCTGGTGTGTCATTCAGTGGGTAATACATTTTGCGGTCCCAGTCGATGTAGAAACTATTACCCAAGCGTATAATCTCCACACTGATGAAAGAGAAGGTGATGGAATATTCATTAGCTTAAGGGACAAGCTCTTTATCTTCAGCACCACCATTATCAATTGCAATTAGAAGACAACTTTGAAGGTAATGACAGGTTGAACTCATCTGTTCATAGGTGGCCTGTGGCAAGGGATGCTGAAGCAAGTCCCACTGAAATGATCTGCTAAGTTTACAGCAAACTCATTTCCTTTGTTTATGAAGCAGTACTTTATAAAAGTACTTGGAAAGTTTCAGAAGTTTTCGGACTGGGAAGGGAGGCAGGAGCAGTGGGTTTCAATTAGTGCCGTTTCAGGAGGAGGTTTCCAGCGGAGCTCTGGGCTGAGCTGAACCCAGTGGCACAGGATGAGCACAGCCATGTCTCCAACAACAGAGAGCTCCACATCAAGAGAGCTATTGTGTCACTCAGTACAACCAAAAGAGTGGCATCAGCTTGCAGATGACATGAATTTTCACCTGGCTGGATGACATATTGGACAGTATTCATTCCTCATGTTTACCAACACAAAAGAGAGTCTCAGTAGCAAAGCTGACTGAAGGTAGCTACAATGATAAATTGAACAGGGCTTTGCAGTCTCTACCTCAGCCCCAAGTTTCGAGAGCATCACAGACACATTACCTACTATCACCAATATCACTATTTGTCTATCACCAATAACCAACACAGCTCTGCACTGTCTGGGAAGAGAGAACACTCTCAGCTGCTCATATAACATCAAGTACTTCAACCTGGATGCACCTACTTACCTGGCAATCCTCACACAGTCCTGAAGCCACCTCGAAGAACAGGCCATTCATTCACTTCTAGCAAGATCCTAATGGTGGCAGGCTTCCAGTCCTGCTCCTACAGCATCCTACACACCTACACCTCCCCTTTAACAGCAACATCATCCTCTCCTCTTCCAGGGCTCACTGCTGTCCCCACTCCAACCCTGACAAAACCTTCTGAAGGCAGCAGAAACAAGAAAAGTGTCACTGTGGTTGTGTAGGAGCATCCATGATGGGGCTGTGTTAGGTTTTAAGGAAAATGCTGCTCCCAGTCAAGGCAAAAGCTAAATCTGTTCCAAGATCAAAAGTGAAAGGAGCTTCTGGCACGTACCTGACGTAGAGTGAAATAGGTACCACTGTGTTTAGAATGATCACGTATGACCAGAACATGAGGAAACCAGAGTAGGAGGCAGAGTTGACACCCTCTGCCCAGGGCAGATAAACCTGGAAGTAGTAGCCCTTATCATGCTCCCAGATACCATTGCCAATGGCTAGGATGAGACACATCAGTGCTAAAAATGCAAAGATCTGGAAAAAAAAAATCAAAAAACAAACCAAACAAATCAAAACCAAACAAAATGTATTGCATTTCAGAAACAAGGAATTTATTATGCACAGGTTAATCAGAAGATCCTGATGGGATAGAGCCGGATAGCCTAAATCACAGGAAAATGTGCCTAGGGATGAAGAAGGAAAACCAGCAAAATTATGATACTTTCACCTCAAGGACAAAGCTACACAGTGCAGAGTCTGGCAACTTGGAATTAGAAGTCCTCAAACAGCTGGGGATTTAAATCCCAAGCAGACATCTCAACTAGGGTGGTTAGACCAATCTGCTGTACAGCAAATCTCATTAGAGGAAGGTTGAGCTGAGGGTCCTCAAACATCTGGCTGCACACTTGGGAACACAAACTGCCTGAAGGACTTTACTTAGCCATTTGCCAGATGTATCACAGTCTTCCTCACAATTTCTGAAAGACTACTAAGGAAAATCCAGCAGCATACAGTCTGGAATTTAGCACTGGATATTATTCTGATGGTTAGAACAGAGTTAGTTGCTTTCTCAAAGCTAATGGTTGCCTCCGTATTTGCCCTCACAATTTGATTACATTTCCTTAGAGCAAACAAAAAGCAACACCACCCAGTGATGCGTATCCTTGGGCTTTAGAGAAGGCTAAAATAACCAGGGCTTTTCCTGAAGCCTAACGTAACCAGGGCAATGGCAACTGGGAAGTGAATTTCAAATTGGGAAACCTTACTGAAAATTGGGGCTTGCTTGGAAACACTATTTAACAGACACAAAAACATCACATAGGTCATAAAGCATTTTTTGGTCAAAAAAAGACAGGACTGTAGCAATACATTTATTTGGAAAAGAGGACAAAAAAAACAGGAAGAAATAAATTTAACAGAAATTAGTACAAACAGAAAGGAATTACAGAACTGTGAATATCCAACAGTAATAAAGAATCGAGAAAAGAAAAAATGAAGTCATAACCAGGTGTGTGAAAAGCAAATGTGTTAACAGACAGCCCTCCAAGAGGAAGGAGTAAGGAAGAAGAAGGATGTATCTGCCCTATGGTAGATGAAAAAGGAAGATTATGTTCACTGACACAGAGCACTGTGTGACTCTACTTGCTAATAAGCATTTTCAATGCAGCAAGTCCATCTAATTCAAAGATGGAAACTTAGAGGACAGTTTTTAACCTTTAATATGGTTAGTTTTTAACAATGCTTTAAAAACTGGGAGGACCGACCATCTTGGAATCCTGCTAATATAATTACAATATTTGTAAGGTAGAAATGGTGATAGTGGGGGATATAAACTGAAGCTAACTTGTCATCCTTCCTGGACAAATGATGAGAAAATAATTACTTTGGCACGGTCTTTTCCAAACATTTGACATAAAACAACCAATATAATAATAAAAAAGTGAAGATATGGAGTCAACAGGCTGCACAAAAGAGCAATTAAAAATCATCTTTTGCAAAGATAATCATTAGGGAGGAAATATCAGTAAGTTGGACCATTATGTAAAGGCCATGCAGCAACAATCACATTAAAACAGTGATCAACCTTTTTAAAAAACAGCAATTGAGGGAAAAACATAGAAACGTTGATGGTAAAGCTAATATTTGCACAGCTGAGGTAATCTGTGGGAGGAAGAAAGATACTTCTGTGGATCAATATGAATCACTTGGTGAAAAGTTCATGCCTGATCAACTCAAATTTTAATATCAAAAAGCCACAAAAGGGAACTGCAGTGAGAAAAGGTGGCTGAGTGAGTTTCAGGGGACACATTTATTTCACACATGAGTAGTAGCTTTTCTATTTAATTGTGCGAAGCCAAATAAATTGCTCAGCTTGTGAAATGGAGACAATATTGCTTGCTGGTAAGGAATGCGGTGCAGTGTTTTTAAACCTCTGTGAACCAGAAATTAAAACATACTTCAATCTGTGCTATTGTAATTATAAGGACTTAAGGGTATTTGAGAGGCATGACCCACCTCACTGCCCCAGAGGTTAAAAGTTATCCATTTGCAGAATATCACAATTCCTGTAGGAATTTCAATGTGTGATTCAGCAATAGAAATATATGTGGGGCAAGACAGGAGCTGAACTTTCCCAAGGTGTCTCTGCCCATGGCTGGGGTGCTGGAACAAGATGATCTTTAAGGTCCCTTCCAACTCAAACCACTCATTCTATACCACAGCAGCTCTTGCCTACAGCTGCATTTGATTTATGCACATTTTGTTTTCTGTGCACTGGGCATGTCAATGCTCTCACAACCCCACTCATGCGCAATACTTGTGCTTGCACAAAGCTCACTAACATGGTGTTTGATCTGAAACAAAAGGAAAGCACCAAGCCATTAAAAGCAGCCCTCGAGATTAATTTCTGTGTGCAGAAACAACTGTGTGCAGGGTGTTGCAATTGCAACCACAGCCCTGAAGAGAACAACACGAAAAATCATTGCTTGAGCATGCCCATGGAGCTTCCCAGCATGAATATCATCCCTCCCTGGGCCCTGCCCATGCATTGACTGTTAATAGATCCTCTTGGTAAAGAGGAAGTGACTTTTGACTTCAAGACAAACATTGACTGTTGGACTGTGAATTTAAACAGTTTCAGTTTCTTGATTGGTACTTTGAGCTCTGCTCTGGGACTTGAAGCAGTCACTTGTTTAAGAGATGAATATAAGAGCTCTCTTTCTCTGAAAATTTGCTCCCCCTAGCCTGCTACAAAGCAGCTTTTGGAAAAAAAAGCATTTCTGGAGCTGGCAAGTGCATCCCCAGTGGAGGAACATTAACTTCTCTCTCAGATCGATGAGAAACACCTCCAAATGTGACAAAGCAGCTATGACTGCCATCTGGGAAGGTTCGCTTCTGATGAACTCTTGCTGGGGCAGACCAGGGCAACATTTAACAGGAACTCCCTTGGTGAACCTGCTTAAACACTGCTTTGTGCCGGGAAGTTGTATGGGAAAACAAACACAAAATAACTTTGCCAGTGTTAACATGGAGTAAGTTTCACTACATTTAAATTACCTATTTATAGTAAGTCATGGCTGCTTTGTATTCTCCAACTCAAGAGCACAATATACTGCCTGTTTTTATGGCCACACTCTGTAACCTTCGACCACCCAGTGAGCTGGAAAAACCCAGTGCCACATCCCCTTAGGTGTGCAACGAGTCTGGTGTTAATGTATGACAGAGCTTTACTTAGACATCAAAATTTTAGGTTTCTTAAAAAATGTGTAAAGAAGACAAACACACCCTTGGCTCCTCCAGCGCCCGAGAGCTCAGGCAGAGGCTGATGCAATCGGCTGCAACTTGCTCAGTTTTTTTAAAACAGAGCCAGGAGGTAAATTCATCTCATTTGTTTTTATACAGTTAGGCCAAACAGATTGAAAGTCCTGGGTGGGACCCTTGGCTTGTGAAAGGAGATTTAGCAAATCTTAATTGAACAATTCTAGATTCCTGGTTCAGTTTTCCTCTGCTCTGTTTCTGTGCCCTGTGGATCTGTCCACAGCCCATCCTCCTCTCCAGTCAGAACACAGCAGAACACCTATGAAAATGTGAAATTCTTCAAATGCTTGAAAAATTTTGAATGTAAGAGCCCACACCTTGTTTGGTTTTGCTATCCACTTAAGGGGAGAAAGGGAAGAAGAACACTGAGGGAAACAAGCTGATGACAACTAAGCTTGATAAACCAAGATTCTCCTGTGGTAGAGATCGGTGCAAGATTATTAAAATTAAGGGCATGTCCTTACTGTACACAGAGCAAAGCCTCAAGAAGAACTGAAGTTAACCCTGGAGTGGGCTCTCTGTGCTGTGGCACTGCTGTGCATCTCTGGGCTCACCTAAAGGACTTTTAGGATCCAAAGAAAAAACCAGGAATACAGAGGCTGAGGGGAAATGAGGAGGTTGCAGCGTGGTGCCACCCTGGAGATGTTTGTGCTCTAAGTCCCTGTGCTGAGGAGGCGTGAAGTCAGAGAGGGCAGGGAGAACTCAGAACGGCCTTGCTGTAATGCACAGACTTCTGCTGGATGCCTCCCCCAAGGCTTGTTCCATTCCTGGGAATGGATCCTGTCCCCAGCTGGCTGCTGGAGTGATCTGGAGAGCAAGGGTAGTAGGGAAGAGGCAGGAAGAGTGAGCACTGACCACCAGACCTTCCCAGTGTCATAGACTGAAGGTGGTGCAGCATGCATGGGAAAGCATGACAAATTTGCACTCAAAGGGAAATAAAATCTGAAATGCAAGACCTTTTCTTCAAGCAACACTGATTAAAGTAGTGTCAGAGTGTATGTCTTCCTTCCTTGAGTGGCTTTGAACTCATGCATTAAAATCTTGAGACAGTCTGTGAAAGAATCACTATTTCTGCCTGGAAGTATTTGCCATTTGTTAAAAGCACTGATGAGCTTAACCCTCAAATTCGATCTGTTTTTCTATCTGAGAACAGTGCCTGCTATGTAAGATAAGTGTTCTCAAATTTCCCAGCTGCTTAAAACACCAGTTTCTGAGCATTAATGAGACCATGTCTAATAATTTACTCTAATGTGTTAAGTCAGGAGCTGGCATCATGTAAATTAGAGGACTTAATTACCAAGTCCTATGCAGATAACACCAGAGATGCCAAGAATTTGTGAGGAAGAGAGAGAACTGCTAATATTTATTTAAATAGAAAATGACAAAATTACTAGAAGGAAAAAAAGGGCTTTGTAGGCTTCAAAATATTTCTCACGCAAAAATGCAGAGGAGAAAAGGGAGAGCAGAGTAAATGACAAGTTCAGAAGGAAAGTCCTTAATTCTGTCAATGTAATGGCCTTGCTTTGCAAGATGGGCTGGCAGAGGCACTGCAGAATGCAGGCTGCTAATAAATTATGATGTACATTTTCTTTTTATCATTAGTCACTTTCTAATATTCCCCCATTTGTGTGGACAGAGAGGTGGAGCATCTGGAAATGATGAACACATCTGAAGAAAGGAAGACACATTAATCAGACTTACCACCAGCACAAGGACATTCATGAGCCGATCGATGCTTGTTCGCTTAAAAGTTGTTTTTCCACTGTTCTGCATGAGTTTTGTGTCTGGCCCTGGAGAGGAAGCACACTTGTTAATTTTAGTAATAAAGCTTAGCTGTTCTAAAGCTGATTCCCTCTGAGGCCCCACTGTGCTTTTCAGCATAAATAACCATCACAGTTCTCAAGAAGTCAGGTATACATGGTTTAGAGTGCTAGTGGGAAACATGGGCAGAAACAGGTTAAGTCATTTGTCTGAGATTATATGGAGTCACATAAAACCACTACATCTGGACTTTGACTCAACTCTTTTCTTTTAACATTCAACCCTTCCTTTCAAGGTTTAATCACTTTTCACAGCATATTTGGTATTGCTATGTTATTGGTGGCACATTATGTATTATTTCACGTGTCTAGAGGAGCATAGAAACAATAGAAGGACTATGCTCATGAAAAGCATATATCTAATCAATAATATTATTGATGATCCTGATATTCCAGTGTGGATGAAAATCACATAGAAATGATACAGAGTGTTTATTTCAATACACTTGAGAGAATTCTTAACCAAATTTAATTGTTACATTCTTTTCTAGTCATCAATCAAAACCCCCCTCCTGTACTTTGCTGCGTGGATTTCTGAAACAAGAAACGTTTTTCTTCTTGTACCTGGTAGAAACATAAATACTTGATTCCTTTGTGCATGCTGGGTGTGATGTATCCCCACCCTAGTGCTGCTGGGCTCTGCAATTGGCATGTCAGTCTTTTTACCTACCAGCATAAATAACGAGCCCAAAGCACCACTCTGTGTTCCGGATAGTACAGCCCCTCAGCAACATCTTCTCATTGTCCAGGGCATATTTCCCTCCTCGAAGAGTAAGAGTTCCTGTGAATTTATCCAGTTTGTTGTTTGGTGCCTCACATCTGACTTCTCCTGTAAAAAAAAATGCAAAAGCAAAAATGGAAATCTTGGTCCAGAAAGGTGTCATCAATACTGCATTCCCAGCTGTTCCTCGGAGAGATAATATTTCACACTCTAGTTACAGTCAACTCCTAACCCCATCATTCCCATTCTATATCTTATATTTACTGATGTTCTGGGATGCTGCTCCTTACCTATATTCATCTCATAATTGAAGGGACCACAGTGAACTTTCATTTATCCAATTCTTTGAACACGGCAATTTTTTATTGGTAGAATACAAAACAAAGTTTCCACACCTTCTATGTGGGTGAGAAGAAATGTTGAACCAGCAACATACTTTTAATCCATTCCCAACAAGTTCATAGTGGTAGGATGTCACTGGATAACTTTAGCTGAAAGTGCTGACATCACCTTTTTTCCTATTTCATTTTCCCTCAAACTGCAGGAGCCCAAGCGAATAGAATCATAGCCTAAAGGATGCAGAAGAGTAATTAACTGAAGTGTCTTTATTCACTGATTTTTAATTTCATCTGTTTTATAACTCAAGTCCCAGGAGCGCATAAAAAGACAACACTACCTTCTTTGGCCACTGAACTGACACTGTAAGTGATTGGAGTGTCTATTTCCACACTTTATATTTTCTTGTAATAAAATGTGTTCAGATACCTCAGGATAAAAATTACTATTTAAATCAACCATTGCACCTGACATTTGAAGATTCAAAGCAGAGCCCTGTGGATGTATTGAGAACTGGAAAATACAAATATGCCTTACGGAAAGGAATCTAAGAGTTCAGTCTGTTCACTTAATCAGCAGTTATTTTCATCACAGGCTATAAATACCTACTAAAATACTAGCATTTGCAGAGAGTACAGTTCTTCTAGCTGCTCTCAGATTTACACACCAGGTTCAAGAGACTGGAAACAAAATCCAGGGAAGTCCAGAAGAAAAATACAGCTTTAAGTGTCATGTTCGTCTTTACCACTACAGATTTAAAATCAAACATTATGCCAATGATCAAAAAAGCAGCTCTAATCTAGGGCAGACAAACCATCAGACATGAAAGATTGAATAATTAGGAAATTCAGTGCCACATGTGTCATGGGAATTCATACTAACAACTGTGTTGCTCTTCTATTTTATCATCTGGTTAGTCCAACAAGGACCAGACCTGTGCCCCATCGTTTCTGAAAGTCTCTAGTAACCAGGCCCATCTCACTGCCACCCTCACAAACACCTTGAAAAGCACAAACGAAACAGGGTCTTTGCACTGGAACCTCTAACAGCACAATGCAAAGCAAACCCAGGGCATGGTCTCACACCAGGAACTCCGTGCCTGCTGTGGGACAGTGCTCCTGTGAGCATCTCGAGTGTCCTCATCTGCTTTCCCATAAGCAGGTGGGTCTGGGCTTCTGACATGCTGATTTTGAGATCAAAAGGGATTCATCCAAATGAGACTGACCACAAAAGAGTGAGAAGTTCTAAAAATCCCCCCAGGGCAGCTGCACTGAGCCCAGTAGCTTTGCAACTGAAGGCAGCACAGCCAGGCACCATGCCTCCTCTCCCCCTCACCCAGTAACAGCAATAAGAAATCTGGAATACATTTCAGCTGAAAGGGTTAAATACTGCCAAGTCAGCTGTGATAAGCAGAGGGTAACTGAAAAGTATTTTTGCCTTTCTGGTCTCCCAGTTCCCCAAATCAAACAAAGAAATTCAGTGTTTTGCAAGCATGCTCCTTATCTGAACCATCAAACAAACATCATAACTCACATTAAGCATTCCACTGAGTGTCTGTATTAGCTGCACAACCCTGTCCTCTCTTCCTGTCTTAAAAAGTAATTAGATAAAGAGTTATATAAATATTTAAATATTTCTACTGAGGTTTGCTAAGGGAAATGCAAGGCTGGGTCTGATTCCAGGCACTCTTCCCAGTACACTGTCAAATATAAATCATCCTGGGAAACATTTTATTCATTTTAAGTATTGCGAAGAGGCCACTTTTATTTACAACTTAAGTAGAGATTTAGAGAATAAATAAATATCCAATAAGACCATTCTCAATTTTCCAAAATATTTTAAAATGTTTTTTTTAATTAAGCACTTCCAAGAAACACCGTGCCCTTAGATAACCATCACACTAAGCATGCTTGAAAAATTATCTAAGATTAAGATTTTGCTTACAAATTGGTAGACACTTCAGCCTGCTCAGGAAAATAGTGAAGGCATGCCACTCCAATTATTAACATTAAGCATCTAACTGTACATGTAAAAACATATTTCTCAAGACCTAAAACACCCAGAACCTCAGCCATCACTTCAAAAAAATCCTGATGTACTGAGCTGACACTTGGCAAAACCCACACATTTTATTGCATAAAACCTCAACAAACAAGGCAAAAGAAACTCTACCAGAGACAGTTTCAGCTATGGTCTTTGCCACATCCCCATTACTTGTCCTGGAATCATTTACTTATTTCAAAAACATTTTTTTTTCTAAAATTATTTTCCCTCTATACCTATAAGCATTTCCTGAGAGCCTGCAATCCTTGAGGCGTTCCAAGGACAGCAGCACTCATTCCACCCCTTTCCATAATAACTCCTCCTGTAATCTTGACCTCATAGCTAAGCCAGCACAGCACTGCAGAACGTGACTAACACCACTTGGTCTGTTCCCTCATCTTCTCTCCTCAGACAGATGATGTGTGAGGATGGAGTGTTCTGGTTTTGACAGGTCTAGCTCCTTTCTCTGTATATGCTGCTAAGTATTCTCTGGTATCCAGTGACAGGACACGTGGGAATGGTTGAAGTTGCACCAGAAGAGGTTCAGACTGGACCTCTTAGGAAACATTTCTTTACTAAGGGGGTGATCACTGACTGGAACAGGCTTCCTAGAGAGTTGATTGCTGCCCCCAGCCTGTCAGGTTTAAGAGACATTTTGACAATGCCCTTAAAAACATACTTTAATTTTTGACCAGCCCTGAAGTGGTCAGGCAGTTGGACTACATGATCATTGTAGATCCCTTCCAATTAAAACATTCTGTTCTATTCTATTCTATTCTATTCTATTCTATTCTATTCTATTCTATTCTGTTCTAATCTTGTATTTGATACAGAAAACAGAGCTGAGAAAGGACACATTTCTTGTTAAGCCCATCTATACTGCTTGCCTTTAGATATTTTAAAACTCAGTCTTTATTGTTGCATTCAGAGAAAAGGAACAGCTTCAGGGTGAGGCTTCAGGCTGGGAAGGAGTCACCTGTCCTGTGTGCACAGTTAGTCCTCAGGTCTTTGTGGTGTCTGGGAAGTGCCACTGATCAGAAGATAAATGTAATCAGTGCATCAGCATTGCTACATCAGTGTGAAAGTGCAGTGTGAAAATGTTTTGAGACCAGAACTGAGCATAAGATTTTGGGAAAACAGTTTCCATTGTGCAGTTATATGAACTCTTGTGCTGGCTTTCAAGGTGCGTAGTCTCAGCTTGTGCAGACAGACACAAAAGCAAAGTGTCCATCCAGAAGAACTGCCACCAAGGCAGAGTCAGGTTGTAGCCATACATGGCACCAAGACCTGCAAGCAAAGAGGGACCTTTTCCTTTACATGTGGTGTTGATACTTGTTGTACAGACTGCAGAGTGCCTGTTCTGTTTTACTGGCACTGTTTGCAGAGAAGACCTAGCAGGGGGCGGTGGACAGTTTGGAAGGAAGAGTCCCAACCACTCTCTGTAATTTGATCTCTGTAATCATCTGTAAAGTGAATTTTCCATTTATACTCACCATTGAACTCCGTCAGCTTCTGAAGATCTTCTCCAAGCTCTGCAGTGACTGTCAGTGCCTGCTTCACCTTTAGGTTTGTTTCACTGTGGCGAACAATATAAGAAAAAAAAACACTAACTGAAAGTCATATGTGAACTGAAAACTCTCCTTGAAAATAACTTCTGCTCTTGAGGACAGTCTTCTTCCTTAGCCATCTGATGGACTGTAAAACCTACATCTCTTTCACCTGGCCAAAGGGTGTAGATTGTCTCTTTCAGTTGCACTGACAGGCATTCAGAGGAATTCTGAACGTGGTACCAAAGGTGAAGTGGCTCTGTCCTCTTAATTTCAGCACAAAGCAGCACACTCTGTCACTCATGACACATTTAAACCCAAGGTATCTAAGCATATATGAGAGCTCTGAATCTTTTCTCCCATGGTATTCTGATCTGGAAGATTACTTCAGTCATGGGACTGGCTAGCTGGGGAGCTGGAAATGCAATGTCAAAAGAATACTGCATTTGTTCAGCGTCTCTTAGAAGTGGCACTAGTGTGTACGAAAACTACAAACCCATTTTATGCAGAAATCAGATGGGGAAAGTCCAGAGGGCTGTCTGTAGGGTCTTGGGAGAGACACAATTTCTTAAAATCTCTGGTCTTGCTTAGTCACTCAAGACTGTTGCTAGTTCTGGGCAATGCAGAAAAGGTAATTCAAACTGGGTCATAAAGATGAGTCAGCTGCAGTTTAATACAAGTTGCAGCCCTCTGGTTTTGTAGACAGCTGTGTTCTGGAGTGGGAAGCATTTGGAAGCCTTTGCTGTGTGCTTGCAGACAGCAGCCCATTATTATATTATTCTACAGCAGACCAAAGGAGATTACCAGAGATATTCATTATGTTTATTTCACCCAGCTATAATCTGTCTCAAGGAAAATACTAGAGGAGACAAAAGCAACAGCTCCTGACAGGGATATTGCAGGGACATGTGTCTAACTAACTCTCAGTGTCAGAAGAGCTGTGACTGAAAAGTAAGTCCTCCTCACATGACATTTGTACTCAAGAAGCAAAAGTATCCACCAGAAAATGTTATTTTCAAGATACCCACCCAAAGTTTATTCTAGATGTTATGAAACTCTTGCTACCAAAGCTATTGCAGGTATGCCCGCAGCACCCAGGGTCACCAGGAACGTGGCTTTGCAGTGGTGGCAGTGGTTGCACGCCAGGGCCAGGCTCACTTACCCGTCCAGCTCAGCTGTCTCGATGTACGTCAGGCTGTGTGGCTCACTGCTCGACAGCAACAGGAGATCAGCCTGAGCACAGACAGACAGAGAGACTTGGCATGAATTCACACAGTCAGCAGGCATTGCATAGCAGTGCTGCTTGTGGTTACTGCCACATTATCACTGACTGATTTTCTCATGAGTGATAAGGGTGGCAGAGATTAGCTGTGATCAGGATAGAGACAAATGGTACTCACTGTCACAAAGTTGTTGTTTTCTAGTTTTATTATATCCCCCACTTGGACATTCATCCATTTTTGCTCCTTTAACCTGCAAGGAAACCTCTAGTAAGTAAGCACATACAGCAAATGCCTCTTGGGAAAGTGGGGAACTTAGCTCTGCTCCTGGAGCCAGACTGTAGGTGACATCAGGACTTGGGAGCAGGGCCTGCCATGATGTGTCCTGATCCATACTAAGCTAGAGGACTGCCACAGTAAAAAAAAAAAAAAAAAATAGCAGTAAAAGGCAATAAAAGCACTGCTTGGGCTGACCCATGCTGGGTTGAGACCAAGCCCCACAACAGCAGTACAGTCCATGCGCACTATCCTTGTCCTTGTCTCTGCAGCGACTACTCCCTTCCTTCCTTCTCTTAAAGGGCCACATTGCCTCAGAAAACCCTCTCTGCTTTGTGTAAGGGACTTCATCTGGGAAAACTGCAGATTGTGTGAGGTTTTCTGAGTGGTACTAAGGGCAAGAGTAACCAGCTCTCAAGAAGGTCAGCGCAGGTGCTTTGGCTGTGCACTGGACTGTCTGAGCCATGTCTGCAGTGGTCTTCACAGCACCAAGCCAGATGTGCACACAGGAAGCCAGCTAAACTACAAGCACCAACACAGCCAAAATACCTGTATATGAAAATTCTAGAGGTGAGAAAGATCAGTCTCAAAATAGGACTGGGAGTTCAAGCTTGAACTCAGTTCGATCTTGCTCATTCAGTGTTGGTTAGAGCTGGACAGGATCTGTGGTTTCCAGGTTTTGAAAAAGGCAAAACATTATAAAATTTCTGTGTCAAAATTTGTTTCCTAGACACAGTAACTAATACACAGTAAACTAAGAAACTGGTTTACTTAGCAGAGAGCACAAAAAGCTATGTCCTTATTCTTCAGTTTCCACTTATATTTTTAACTGTTTGATCATCTGTTAGAGTTTACACAACATACTGCTATCTGTAGTATGGAAAAAAGTCACAAAATACTTCCCAGCTGTCTACAGCTGTGTCCTGTGCATGGCTGGACTCCACAGAGCTGCAAGTACATCTGTCTGCCATGAAAGCCAAAGCCCTCTGCTATTTTTTCTGCAGGAAAGAACAGTGCTAGCAGTACAATGTCCAAAGCACGCAGCTGAAATGTTCTGGGTACAACTAAGCCAGAAGTGCTACACACACTCAAAGTATAATGAAGTGTATGAAGGAGATATTCCAGCTTCTTAATTTGAAATATCTTGTTGATAATGTCAAATTTTGTTTAATGCAAAATAAATGCTAGGAGTATAAATGGACACAGAAGATAGCTTTGCATGTTACTTGTAGGGTAAGGAGTAAAGTAATACAAAGACTCTGAAATTCTTACTTAAACATAAACACCTAGGAACAGAGAAAGAGTTTAGTTTTTGTCAGCACAAGGTCACAGCCATAATATCTGCACAGATTCTGGTACTGTGTCTAGGGTTCATTAATCAGACACATAGTCCAAAACTGCATGATGAACTAGTGCTGTGAAACACAATTCAATTTTAAATTGTTTAGTGATCCTTGAGAATCACACACAGACACTCAAAATCAAAAATATTTACTAATAAAATGCTTTTCCCTATGAGAACAGCAAAAAGGACTTACATGCCATTGATCAGGACCTGGACTGGGCGGTTGTTGACGTGTTTGTCGCTTTTGTGTCGATTCTGAAAATTGGATCAGAAGGTTAAAAGGCTTTTCCAGGAAACCAAACACACAGGAGCCGTAGGCAGTTCATTAACATTTCAGGTTTCCACCCAGCTGCCTGAATGGGTCAGGCAGATTAGGGTCACAACTGACTCATTGTCCAGCACATGTTTATGGCAGTGACACAGAGCACATAACCAGACTGCAAAGGGCAACAGGCTTGCTCTTGGAGAGAAGAACTAAGGTAGAGCCTTACATGTCACTTTAGCACAGCCCTGACTCAGCTGGCACTGCTCCCATCCACCTCAGTCTGTAAACACCACAGAAATTCATTCCTCTGCTCTCATACGGAAAGTGGCCACTGATACTCTGGCACTGCTCCATTGAACATCAAAATCATTTTAATAATGAGAGAAAATCAGATGCTAAACTCAATTCTAATATCACTCTGTGAAGTCAATTGGGCTTTTGATCATTAGCTCTGATGGCAGCAGACTTTGGCCGAGCAAGTTTGAAAAAGCATAAGTGGGTTGAGCACTTGCTTCCTACCAATATTTTTCCACCTACATTGTACTAGATGACAGAGGATGAGTTCTCCAAAGTGGAAGTGTAAGAAAATATTTCTGTGCCTGCATCCAGGCATATCTATGAGTGATCACATTTTCAGACATGCTGAGCAGTTTCAGAGAAAGTCAATGGAGCTGCTGGCCTGTTCAGCAATTTGGAAATTCTAGCTCTGTTTCAGTAACAAACCATAGATTCTGGGGACTTAATTTCAGACCCCATCTGAGTGCCTGCCACCAGCTGAGTTTAAGCAGTTTATTTCAGTTGCTGTGCTGAAGAATCACAGGCCAACGCCAAAGTACAGGTCAGAAATACAGATCTTACAAAATCATCAATGGCATCCTTGACTCCTGATACAGCCAGCACCAGCACCAGGGGCACCACTGTTGTAAACCAGGCCAATGAGGAAATCTGAGGAATCAACTGTAGGAAGAAAAGATCTGAGTTAAGACATTTCCTGACAGTTCTGAAAACCACTGCCTCCTAATCAAGCTGCAGATAATATTTTTCTATGATACCTGAATATAGAATAAAGACAGAAATGTAGCTCCATCCCTGATATGTGGATCTCTGCCCCCCTCCAAAGGTGGGAGAGCCAGGGACCCCATGTTTTCTGTCCAAAACAAGCCATAATTTAAGTTAGAAAAATAGAGCTGTCAGAAAGTGTAGTGGGTTGCTCTTTATTATTGTTTGCAGAATTGGGATTGCCAAATCCCCAGGACATTTCTTTGGAAGTACTGACATGGCAAGCCCACTGTGAGAGACTCAAGAGCTATCTGAGCAAAACCAGCTGTGCAGAGCCCTCAAAAGCTTCTGTTCTTTGTTTCAGTAACTTCTCACATTTTGCTGAAATAAATTTTGCATCAATGGACAATGCAAGCTGTTGCCAGAGCTGACGTTGCTCTCCCTAGAGCAGCACAGCTGCTTTTGTTTCCTACATCTTTAGCAGTGAGAGGACCAAAGAGTTGAATGCAATTCTCTTAGGTTGTCAGTCAAGCAGAGGGAAATGTCTCACCCCCACGCAGTTCTCCCCTTCCTCTAGAGGCACAGCACTAGGGACAGAAGCAATGTGAAAGCAGCATTAGTGTGTCCCTCAGTTTGGATCTGGGAAGTGTCAACTCCATGTGCGTTGTGAAGTTACATTTTTGCACTGTCATAGCCCAGATTCTACAGGCACCATAGCCCTGCTCAGCTGTACAGGCTGCAACTGCTGCCTTCTCACCTCCCTTGGAAAATGCATGTTCCACTGGTCTGTGACAAAGGAGGGGGAGACAGAGTCCCCACAGCCTGCCCATCACATCCACTCTTGATGCAGGAATAGTCCTGTAGGGATGCAGTGAGGAATATGTAGACTAATGCCTGCCCTCTTTAGGCTACCTTGATGTAAAGAAAAAGCTGTGTGCTTTTATATATAGTCAACCTTAGATGGCCTAGCAAAACACACAGTGGAATAATTCAAGGCAAATACTTTGAAATACTATGAATTTGACAGACAAACAGCTAGAGTGCAGTGCAACAACGCAGGAACTCTGCTCTCAGCTCTCAGCTGGAAAGGCACCTCTCTTGAAAAATATAGATGCACTACAATTTCAAAAAGTTGTTCCCTGCAAATAAACAAAAAAGATTATGTGTGGTTTGCTGAAGCCTTAACCACATTTCACCTATGCTTTTTTGAACTGAAATTGTAAAAAAAAAAATAAGCATTTGAAACGGGTTATTTTGCAAATTTGTGTGCAGTGAAATGATCAACTTTAAAACATTAAGCTTGAAACATAATCAAAATTATACCCTTCTTTTGATAACGTGTGTTCTGATATGACTCAACAATGGCAGAGTACACAGCAAGGTGCAAAGGGGCAGAAATCCTGATATCAATTTATCCGGTGCGTTCAGCTTTCAGGGTATCATTAGCAGCAGTGATGAGCAAAGTGCAACACAATGCCATCGCAATCCACAGGGCTCAACAGTGCTGCCAGTGTCTGACACACTCCATACTGGACACCTTCCTCACCCTGGAGAAGGGAGCAGCAATATCCAGCTTTATGCAAACTAGCTAAAACCTTGAGCCTTCCTGATGTTAACTCCTTCCTTCCCAGGGAAAAACCACAGGTTACTAATGTGGTGTCTTTCTTGCTGTTTTCATTTGTGACTGCCTGTGGAATTTGCCTTAAAGTCTATGCGTAAGAGACAACTTGGCTTTATACAGGATGAATAAGTAATACAAATCTGAGGACAGCCAGGAGCACTCAGAGGTAGACACAAAGGGATAGTAGGGCAGTGCATGAAAAAGTTGCACAATTTGTTGAAAACTAATTAACTTTTTTCCTTCATTTAGTTCAAACCCTCATATCCAAAGGTAAAAGAGAAAATTGCTTTTTTCTGCCCTGCCTTCTATGTACTGTAAGATTTTACTAAGATGCTAATTCACACCAGGAATATAGCTTGCACTTCATTACTCCCGTCAAACATGGACTGGCTTTGATAACAGAGAACAATCTGCTGGAAACAGCACAGTGATTTCATACCTGTAAGATCAGCAAGAAAAGGAAGTAAGCATTGGCTATTCGCTGAAACTGCTCAAACAGGTTGAGAGGCAGGAAAGTGAAGAAATTGTATTTCGATGTTTTAATTGAATTGTTCTGTAGGAAAAAAAAAAATAAATAGGATTGGTAAAACAGGAAACAAAATTACAGCACAACACATTTCAACTGTGTCTTACTTGCTTATATTTAGCAATAGCATTGTTCCCAACAGCAGCTCAAAAAGCGTTTCCTTTTCCCCCACACAATCATGCCAAGTCGGGATAAACAGAGAATTCCTCTTGGAATGGGTGAAAACATGATGCTCGGCTTATGCCAGTACAGCCACAGGTAGATAAACTTGTATGTAGTTGCTCACAACATCTTCACTTTATTAACAGTCTTCTTACACAGTGCACAAAGAAAATTGAGAATTGTAACCAGAAGACAACAATTTTGCTGTTAGCATATACAAAACAGGGTTGGAAAACACATGCCAGGTCAACCATCCGTAACTCGGCTGATGATTTGAAATACCCATTGGCTGGACAGCCCTAGTGGAGGTATACGTCCTCCCAGGAGCAGAATATGACATTATTATTATCATTTTCAGCTCATTCAGCAAACTTTCAGCTCAGCAGCTTCAACGGGTGGCTTGTTTCTGTTCCACAAAAATCACTTGGATCTGGTGTTGTGCAAACAGTCACTAGTACAAGAACTCACTCTTTCAGTAAGTGAGCTGCAGCTCTGTTCCCTATTTCCAGTTTCCTTTTCTAATTTCGGACAGCCCCTCCAGCCACAAGAAGTGATTGCTCCCCAGTCTGTCTTTTGCAAACAACAGAAAGACCTAAGCTTGATATTGCAGAACAGGGTATTTTTTTCCCCAAAGATGAGAGTAGTCTGGTCCAATATGTGCCACCAACCCGACAGGCTCAATGCATTCTACTGACCCACCAGCTGCTGCTGTCCCTTTAGTTTTCAGGTGTGCTAGACCATCTTTTCATATGATGTTTAACAGGCCCTGGTCCAGGTTTAGTTCTAAAAGGATAAATCCCCCTCTTGTCACAACATCTTAAGTTTTTCCCTCTAGAAGCTCTCCAGACAATGCCCATTAACCCCCTTGCAGGGAACCTAAGGTGTGACAGCACAAGGAGGCAGATATGAAGCACACCTGAATTCCATAATAAATATGCTGGTTCAACTGCAGAGAAAATAGTGATTGCAATATTTGTAATAGCCTTTAGATATTGCTAAGCTGGTGGGAGGACAGAAGCTACTAAGTATGAATCACAGCCCTCTTCTTATACATGCATTAATCCAGGATCTCAGCATCTATACTGACATGCATCAGCATGTTTCCAGCACTAAACTAATTATTTCAGGTTACCACTGAAAGGTATGTGTGGGGGAAGCTATTCCATTTTAGGCAGTTACTGGATTTCTCTACCTTCAGACACACAGTACAGAGTATGTTCTTCAGCATTGAAATCATGTTTTATCCCTTGGACAAGCCAAATGAGTAAATCTCAGAAATTAAAACAGCCTTCGTAGAAGAGCTAGCCAAATCCTCCTCTTGATTGCACTCCAGCAAGAAAAGATATTTATCAGTGATCAGCATATATACAATATTGCCTGTTTCCTGGTATCATGCTGCTACCTGCAAGTGTGGTTAACTCTGTCTATGCCATGACATGTAGTTAAATTTGGTTTATTTCAAAATCCTTAACCGTAGGGTACGTGTCGCAGACAGGCTCCATGGACACTGCTGAAACAGAAGCAATGGAAAAACAGCATCCTCTGCAAACCCAGCATACTAGGAACTGAATTGCTTGACAATTGCTAGACTATGTGCCTGACTGTGTCCGTCAGGCACATAGTCTAGCAGATTTTTGCATAAAAGCTGGATCTAAATAAAGAAATCTGCCCACTATTCTGAGGACAAGTATTATGACCAATTACTTAAAGAAAACCACAAGATTATTGTTACAGGAAAAAGTAAATGCAGGGGACTTGACCTTTGTGCGTCAACAGATTTCAGAGGGTTACATATAACATGGGAAAAACTACTCAGTAAACACTCAGATAAAGTTTATAGATCTTTGCCTGCAAAAATCTCAGAAGGGAATAAGAAAAGAATGGGAGTGGTTTATTTCAATTCCTGACTTCTATTTCTGTCCATTAATTACGTCAGGAAAATCATTGAATGAACCACAGCCATTCATTTTATTTCCTATTGCCATTAGGCATGGTAAAAACCCCAGACATAACAGCTTCCACATGCTTAACTGCAGGAATCTGGATAACCAGTGTTTTCTCCATAGCTGTTCAGGATCACTACATTGTTGGGCATATACTGTCTTTTGGGACACTAGGGTACTTTAGACCTGAAAATAAGGACGGGGAGTATTATCATGGATCTTCTCATTATTCTAGAATCTATCATTAAAATTAATCACCAGGAAAAAAAGAATTTGTAATTACTATAAATATTTCTAATTCAACACATAACTTATTCATGGACCTCAGGGGCTAAAGGTATATCAATAGCAAAATATAATGACAAACTAGAGAACACTTTAGCCTTTCCAAATCAAAACTCTGCATTTCCACATCACAGATACAGCTGAAACACTATGCAAAGTATCATATAATGCTAGAAATACAGAATGGTTTGGATTGGTAGGGATCTTAAAGATCATCTCATTCCCACCATCCCTGCCATGGGCAGGGACACCTCCCACCAGACCAGGTTGCACCAGCCTGGCTTTGAACACTTCCAGGGATGGGGTGCCCACAGCTTCTCCAGGCAACTTGTGCCAGTGCCTCAGCACCCTTACAGTAAGTAACTTCTTCCCAGTATCTAATCTAAACCCACCCACCCATTCCTTTGCCCTGTCTGCTACATGCTCTTGTAAAAAGTCCCTCTCCATCATTCTTATGGGCTCCCTTCAGCTACTGGAAGGCCACAGCGAAGTCACCCTGAAGCCTTCTCTTCTCCAGGCTGAGCAAACCCAATTCTCTCAGGTATTGATTATGTTTTCAGGAAATACTGCAGGGCTGCATGCTTTGACAGCTCAGGCTCTTGGCCAGCTACAGGGAAATCTCAGTTGGCCTCTGCTCTTGATCTTCTGTGACGCTTAACATCATCAAACCCTGTCACTCTTTAGAGCTGGACCAGAGCCTGACTCTGGGGTGGGAGGGGTGCTACGGGGGCCTGCATCACTGCAGTGCATTAAATAGTCCACATGCAGCCATCATTTCACAAGCAATGCCTCTAACACATCATCTGCCTCACCGTCCCCACACTCTGCCTTCAGTGGGGGAGGCTCCCATAGAGAAAAAGTAATGGAGAAGAATAATCTTTGTAACAGCAATTAGGTATTGAGACGTCTTACTGAAACTTCTGGTTTTCCTATAGATTCACGAAAATCAACAGCTGAGAAGAGCAGTTCTATGGGCTAAGCACAAAAATGGGGATGAGGAGCCCTGATCTGCCCTGATCTGCCCTGGACTTCTGGTTGTGCGAGGGCAGTCCCTGCACGCACCTGTGTCCTAAATGAGCAGGTCTGAGCGTGGTTACCCTCAGTCAGCCTGGAGCTCTCCAGATGCAAAGCTTGACACCAGAGCAATGTTGTCTGTGGGTGAGGGATTATTCTCATCTGCTCTTTTCAGGGGATAGATTCACACCTCCTGGAGGTGTGACTCCACCAAAATGCTGTCCCTAAGAATAGCGCTCATCTCTCCACAGTTACACAAGTCCAGATCTGGCGGATGAGCTGTTACTTTGGGGGTGTTTTCAGAAGCCCGCCTGTGACGTCCAACAGCAAGCAAAACTCAGCAGATGGCTCCTACCTTAGATCGCTGAGCAAACAAATCATCTCCTTGCCATAAAAGTCACTGGAAATAAGAGACACTGATGCTTTTCTGGCTAGATTACAGGGGCCAAAGTGTATGGCAAGGTATTGACCCTCTGAATTTATACCCCTGGCTCAGTGACATAATAGTTCCCAGCAACTGGACAACCTAGCCCCAACTAAATTTTAGCAAGATTTTGCTGACCCCACAGGGAGGTGTTATGCCACAAAACTTGGCAATTCCCTTGGTACTTGTGTAGCACAGACCAATGGAACAGCTGAGCAGCAGAAATATCTTTCCCAGGTGTTTTGGTAAAGCCTCACCAAGGAGGTAGCAGAAGGGCAATTCCATGGCACTCTGTTTAACTGCAGTGCCATTGGAAAGAACACAGAAGCCATAAGCAAAAATGTGACCACAGGGCTGTGAATGTGCTCATGAAAATTTTTAATAAACTCATGTAACAGCACATATGGTGCCACCAAGTCTTTGTTTCACAGGGAGCATGGAACAGTCAGACCAGATCAGTTTTAAGACTCCCAAGTTCACTGACTTATTCCTGATGGTAAGCAACAGCCCCAGCTCAACAGAAGACTGATAAAGGCCAAAAGGACGTGTGGTATTAATCTGGTCCCTGTAAAAGTCTCTGTAAAAAAGCAAACTCCCAGGAGTAACAGATCGGCCAAACACTAGAGACAAAAATTCCAATTTCCAAAGCACAGTTCTCTTTTCTTCCCTTTTCTTTTTTTTTTCCCGACAATTTTTCTTTTCTTTAAACAGAAAAAGGACAGGAATGTCTTGCATATGTAACCCCTTGACCCTCTCTTGACAGCATTAATGAAGTGAGTTCCAGGATCTCATCACCTGTTGGGTATGCCATGAAATTCTGTAGGAAAGTGTGATGACTGCTTGTGTTTTCCTAAGTTGTTCCTTCAGTCTGGTGTCACCCCATTACTGAGCAGTTAATCATCAGTGTGGTGAGTGTCCTTGTCATGGCGGTGCACAGGGTTGGCATGGCTTGGGAACCTCATGCCATTGCTCACAGACAAGCCAAGCACAATACCTAAAGGTCTTGTCTCTTAGGCATCCCCTTCAACAACACTGTGCTCTCCTCTGGCTCGGCTCAGTACCTGAAGCTGCTGCCTGTTAGGAAGGAGTAAAGAAGGGGAGGGCAGACCACTGCTGAGTGGTGCAAAGCCACTGTTTTGTTTTCATCATGCTTTCACACAACAAGACTCCCAACCAGTGTAATAGCTGTATTCTCTCCATAAGACTTAATCTGATGAAGAGTGGAAGACTTGATCCAAAGGAGTCTATGGACTTCACTGAAGACCACATCTGGCACAGCTCAATCTTTATGTGCTTCTCAGGGGTCTGAGATGCCTTGTGGATCTTGACCTCACCTGGTGTTTCCAGCCACCTGTCTCCAGAGCAACTGTCTCCAACCCCTGTCCAGAGCTCAGGAGTTCACTTAAGCTCAGCCAGAAGCCTTGTATCCTCACCTGAGCTATGCTGTAGAAGTTCCCATCTCCAGACTGTCATCTGTCCTAGTTTCCCAGATATATCTATCCAGTTCTACTTCCTTGATGGACCTTGGACCTCTGGTTTGTCTTCAGCCCGGTCTCTCACCACTTCTGTCTGGGCTCACTAGGAGGGCCCTGGACCTGGTTCATCACCTCACTTTGTCTGCAATGGTCAGGATGGACCCCATCACCAGCATCCTGCCCTGTGCCTGACATCCAGATGCTGCAGGGCTGCACCCTGGTCAGTGAGAGTCCTGCCTGAGCTGGGATGACCTCCACTTCCAGCCTGCCCCCTCTCGAAGTACAGCCCTGCTCTGGCTGCTCCCTGACAGTGCCTCAAGTGCTGTTTAGATGGACCCAACTTACACCTTACTAAAGAGCAGCGCAGGTTGCTGATGTAGCTATTCCTCCAGGGACTACTGAGACCACTTTTCACTTCATCAGACCACACTCCCTTCTGCCTTGAGTGTGAGGGACACTGGGAAACATTTGCAGGTTGAGACGGGAAGAGAGAGCAGCTGGTGCTACAACCCTGACCATGCTGATAAGATCCTGGAGGATCACCCACCAGGCAGCCTTCTGAGATCAAAGCATGCAAGCAGAGGAGGTGGAGCAGAGTCTGAGCCACTACCAGAGCTCCCTGCTCTCCAATTAAATTTCAAACAGATAAGAACCCAGCTGCTGATCCAGCCCAGGCAATGTGTATTGCCTATAGGAAGTTATATACATCCCTCCTATTTCAGTAGAGCTTTCATCAGGTGACCCGAGTCCAAGCAGCCCCCTTGCTGCTGGTCCTGATGAAAGAATGCTGGCTTGACCCTGGGTCCTGATCAAGATGAAATTTGTCATTGACTCACAGGCCCTGCATTTCCTTTCCTATTGTCTGAAAGCCAATTTCAAAGTTGTTTTTGCAGCCCTCCATGACGTCCCAGTGCAGCTGTGCTAAATTCCAATGTGAAAGCAAAGAATTAAAAAAGTAACTAGGATCAGATCAACATTAAAAGTCTTCAGAAGAAATTTTACTCTCAAGAGTATTGATGGAGAGCCCATCATGGTGGACACACAGAGGCTGTCCCCTCTGTAGCTGTGTTGGGGTGAGTGCAGACAGATTAAGTTGATTAAAGTACTTAAATCTTGCTATACCATATCTGCCACTCTGCTTTCCACTTTATTTCAGTCTTTACACAGAACAAACCTCTTTCTGAATTCAGGAAGGATCTTTCTGTCTACATTGTGAATAAACACAGGATTAGGGCTTGACTTTTCATTTTTACTGACCTATATTGAGCCCTTTTATGTGTTGCTCTAAGTGCCTTTTCATGCCACTCATTCACACTTGGTTTCTGAGTCATTCCTAACTAATTTTGTGAGCTGGTGGGTAGTGTTCATACCTTCATACTCAGCCCTTCCAGTTAACTGCACAGCACTTTGTTTTAAAGTTTGTTTAATTTTTCTAAGCCTTCTGATCAACTACTGAGGCCTCATGGCTGGAGAAGTGTGGCAGGCAGGGACACAGTGCAGTTTAGCATCTCCTGTATTTTCTGACAGCTCGGGGAGGGAATTTGCCCTCTGAAGTCTCCTGCAAGTTGTAGAGTGATGGAGGTGGACATGCCCTTGCATGCAGTGGCAGACATGGCTTTCCACGTTGCAGTATCAGGTTCCTGCAAAGCTGGTTTGAGCCATTCGGGAGTCTTGCTTCATATCAGGAAGGCCACCTTTCAGCAGCTGCCAGAGCTGATGTCAGACTCCACACACAATAGAGTTTGTCAAGTCTTTATCAGTTCGTCTCTTCTCCCTTCACAGATATCTCGGAGACTTTGCACCGGCAAGGGACAAAGTCCCACCACGAATAGGGATATTCAAGTCCCACCACGAATAGGGATATTCAGGGACAACACACCCACCTCTGGTTGTACTCTCCCACCTCTCTGCTCTTGCTGTGATAAAGAAGGACAAAACACCTCTGTACCTTTGATCTATGCCTACATAATAGAAACTGCCCGTTTAGTGAAAGGCTCAAATCTTCACAGCAGGTGGGACAGAAAGCCTGGCCGCAGCAGTATGTCAATACACAACATCTAGACTTGCATTTCCCTTTCTTTTTCCTTATTGGCCTTTCTCAGCAACTGCCTCACCCTGAAGAAACATTTACCGCCTCACCTAGCTTTGTTGCAAGAACCTGTTCTATAGGTTTTATGGCTAATGTGGCCTTAAGTTACCAAGAAACCTGAAACGCAGTCCTGTGACTTTCACTGTCTAAAATAGTTTTAAAGCTTTGTTATATTGGTGGGTTTCCTTTGGATCTTAGTAGTCCTTTCACCCTGAACCACATCCTAGTGCTTAGCAGAGCAACCCCACCATGATGAGACAAATCTGAATTTGAGGAAGGTACCCCAATGTAACACTTGCCTCGAAGAGCTAACTTTCAGGAGCACTGTAGATTTGTTAGGGGAGGATGCCAGGAGACTATCTCCCTTTTTGTCATTTCCACATTCAGCAGCAATCTACAGCATGGGATGTGATGTAAGTTATGAGCAAGTTTAGTTCTTTTCATACACCATAGTAATGTGGAGTTAATAAACTGAACTTTTGCGAGGACTTGTTGGAAATAAGCAGCCCAGGACATGATGTGCAGCCCTGTACCGTTTGGGCAGTACTTGCACCACCACCTAAAGTCTGTTAGTACCTTACCATCCACTTGCCACTTCAAGGCTTGCCTCTTTGTGGGCAGTTTCCTGGATTTCCTAAATCTCAGTTTACACAGGACTCCAGAAATCATGAGCCATAACTGACTAAAATGAGGGGCATGATTACCAAAACTCACTGCCAAGTTTTAACACATTATACTGAGCTGGCTTTTTGGATGCACTTTATCACCTAATCACAGGCTTACCGAAATTCTGAAGTGTTCTCAAAGTTGTCTACTTAATTGTGGCTATTTGCAAATCCTTGGGTACAATCAGCAATCAGCTGAGAAGCACTGTCATGCAAAGTCAGTTTTCTGAACGGCTTTTCACAGAATTAGGCACGGAGCCAGAAGAGCTGCTTGTTCCCTCTACCCTGACATAACTGCCCATCTCCCTCCTACTTTCTTGTCCCACTACTGCACATTGCAACCATTCAGTGGAAGATGACAAAACCTTAAGCAGTGGCAATAAGCATCGCAGCATGCTACTGACAGGTTGTGTGCAAATCAAGTTCACTTCCCCAGTCTCAAATCACCAGTCTTGATAAGACATTCATGCTGCATAGTACTTCCCATATACTAACTGCCATGCATTTAATACTCAGGACACATGCAGCAGCTCTGGACCCTGGGACTCTCTAACCCATGTTCGTGGCTCAAAAGCAACCACTGAAAACCACTACCACTGTGTTGCCATCAGTCAAACCTGCTGGCAAGTCATACTGTCCCCATCACAAGAAATTAGTGTTCTAAAATGCTTCGTTTTTTCAGCTCTTGCCAAAAAAATACTTGTGATGTTCCTAAACTAAAACATGATTCAAAGAGCTCCCGAGTAACTGAATGATTAATTTCACCACTGGAATTCAGATATTCAAAGGACAAAAATTCACAAAATTCACTTCGGTATTAATTGGCAGCTGCAAACACTTTAAAAGAATGCAGCTTCAGGGCAGCCTCACAGAGGGGATGCCCCTGCAGGCAGGACAGATCTAGAGGCTGAGCTAGCCCTCCTCTGCACACAGCATCAGAAAATGGCCCACAAGCTTTGGAAATGAAGTCACCCAAGGGGCTCCCTGGCAAATTAGCCTGGCAGCCCTGGGACACAGCCAGCCTGTGTCAGGTGCACTTTGGAATCACAGATTTCATGGCACAAAGTGAACCTAAGTAGGCTGTTAGGAATCTGGCAGAAAAGCTGGCAGAAAGCCACAAGGGCCAGATTCAAAACCTTCCTGGCAGAGATGATTTCACTGCAAAAGCTGAGGAACTGACACATTTCCTTTCATGTTTTACTTTAAATGGAGACAAAATTCCACAGAAAACTCCCCCCAGGTTCCGTTATTGAAAGGCCTTGGAGCCTGATCCTGCAAACGCTTTGACTCACAAATAATTCTCTGTAAGTGTGCAAAGTCACTGTATCATGCTTTTCCAGAACTTAATCTCCTTCAACTGCCCGTTTTTCAGGCTGACTTAGCAGCAATCCACCTCTGATGGTTCATCTGGCTTATGTTTGCCTGGTTTGCAGAGCCATAGCTGGCATGCAGTTCTGTTCACCCCTTTGAAACAACACTTGAGACATGAAACAGATGCAGCTACATCTGTGACTACATCTGCATGAAACAACAGACACTGGTTACTTACAGCATATTCAAACTGCAGATTAAAATCCCGGTTGTTTGCTTGAAGTTGTCTCTCTTCCTCTGCAAAGAAAAGGAAACACATCAATAATGCTTGAGGGTAAGCAGAGTCAATACAGATGTGAATGGAGCATCAGAAAGTGCAAGCAGAGCTGCTAGAAGGGAGTGACAGTGAATCAGAGTCCCATGTCAGGGACCTGGGGTGGCTGGTGACACTGATGGAGCTGCACTGTGGACTGGACCATGGCACTCTTTAACACCACAGAACAACATCTCCTCCACCCACCACTTGCTGCAATGACAGTGCCTGGTCAGGCTGTTCACTCTCTGGGTAGGAGTTCTTACTTAACTAGTGGTGCTCACTCTTCCTGCCCTGCTCCTTCTCTCCCCCTGAAATCTCTGGATCTTTTGCCATCAGCCTACAGCTGGTGCCCTTCTTCCAGTACAGGTGCATTTCTGAGCATCACCACTGATGGGACACCATCCCCACAGCTGTCATGAAATGAAACACTTCTGGAAGGATATCAAAAGGTCAACAAATTTGTCCTTTACCTCAAAGCAGGGTCTTGCCTCTCTTCCCCAAAAATGACATAGAAAGCTCCAGCAACATCGCCTATTCCAGGATTGAAGTCTCCTTCCCCTAGGGCAGTTTTTTCCCTGCATTATCTAACATAAAACTAGTTACTTCAATTTCAAGAGGTTTTTGTCTTTTTCCGGGAGGGTCAAAAGTGGTCTTCTGCTTCCCCTAAGTTCCTTGTGCTGCTTGCTGAAGATGCAGAGTACAGAGAGTTGAGGGAGGGGATTGTCCCACTCTGCTCTGCACTGGTGCAGCCTCACCTTGAGTCCTGTGTGCAGTTTTAGGCATCATAGTGTACAAAAGGGAAAAAAACTATTAGAAAGAGACCAAAGGAGGGTCATGTGGATGGTGAAGGGACTTGAGGGGGAGTCATATGAGGAACACCTGAGGTCACTTTGACTGTCCAGCCTGGAGACTGAGGGGAGACCCCATCGCTGTCCACAACTTCCTCAGGAGGGGAAGAGGAGGGGCAGGCACTGATCTTCCCTCTGGGTGCCCAGTGACAGGACCAGAGGGAATGGCCTGAAGCTGTGTCAGGGGAAGTTTAGGTTGGATATCAGGATAAGGTTCTTCATCTAGAGGGTGGCTGGGCACTGCAACAGCTCCCCAGGGAAGTGGTCACAGCAGGAAGCCTGACAGAGCTTGAAGAAGCATTGGACTGTGTTCTCAGGCACGAGGTGTGGTTTTGTGGGCTGTTCCATGCAGGGATTCTATGATTCTGTGATTCCAAGTTCACTACATAGGCTGTTATGCCTTACACTAGCCTTCCCAAGGGTAAGCAGCTCCCGTTTCTCCAGTCACTTCTTACGCATTAATCCATCAGAAGGAGCATCACCCTTGGTGCTCTCCAAGTGGGCTTCCCAGCCAGTTCAGCCCATTCTGGATGGATGCCCAAAGTGGGCCATGGTTTGCAGCTGGGGCCTTACCAAAGCTGACCAGGGCACAAGGAACATAACTTTCCTTGCAGACAGTGCACATCATGCATAAGAACTCACCCAGGAGTAATTTAAAGTAACATCCTTATACACCACCAGCACAGAGAGGATGGCTTCCCAGAATATGATCCACTTTGGCAGATCCTTTCTGGCAGAGCCGGATGCCTCATCAGGCAATGCAAATCTTTCATTTGTCCTTGCTGAACTGCATCCAAATTCTTTCAGACTATTTCTCCAACTAGTGAATTCCAATCCTATCTTTCAATGTGCTTGTAGCTCTTGCCAGCATGGTGCCATTCACAGATGTACTAAGTGTGTTCTTTATTCTGTCAGCCAAGATGTAGAAGTAAATATTGAATACCAGACTGAGGATGGGATATACCCCTGATGAATCTTTCAAGTTTCCTTATCAGTCATCAATATCTATTGTTAATGTCTTCTTTTTTTTCTGAAAAATCTGGCATTCACTGTAAAATCACTGTTTTGTGATTTTATCTCAAGCATGTATCTCCAGTTTACTTGTAAAAATGCCACAAGTGACAGTCAAGATACATGGCAGCTATCTGAGGCTTTTTCAATAGCCCTCCAGCTACCACTAAAACAGAATTAATTTTGGTTTGATGCAGTTTTTCAGGACTGCTGACTGTTAATCATCTCTTCCCCACACACACACTCCTAGTTACTTTGAAGTGGTTTGCTGTATTGTTTTAACCTTTACTCAAGTGAAGCCAATACATCTATAATTGCCCAGCTTTTCTCTTTTCCCTGTGCTTGCTCTCTTTTCAGTCTTCTGAACTCTGCCTGCCTGTGAGCCAGACTCTCAAAGGCAAAACTGCTCCAGGGCATGCTTTACCTTACTCAGTCAACCCATTCTCTCTCTATTCCAGCCCAAAACCTATCCCTTTCTCTTCTGCTTTTGGCAAGTATTATGTTAGATATCTAGAGGGAAAAAAAGAAAAACAAAAAACCCAAAAAACCCAACAAACACACCACAACAAAATCCCTCTGATTTCTTAGCTTTCTTTTCTAGGCTTTTTCCACTGAGCCTCCCCAGAGACCCCAGCTCTTACAGAACAACTTTTATTGCCCTTTATATCCTTGAGAGCCTTTTCTCACTTTGAGCCTTTGCCACACTGTTTGTGCTGGATAAAACAAACTGTTTTGCACCTTCTAGAGGCATCCTTCCTTTGTCCGAAGCAAATGGAGAGCTTCTGATTTCACCATTTCACTCATCCTTCTGAGCCATTCTCTGAAAGGTGATAACTTATACATGTGGCCTTAATATCAATTAATAATAAATGTGCCCTTAATATCAATTAATAATAAATGTGCCCTTAATATCAATTATTTAAGGAAACGACAGTTCTGTCTAATTCTCCCCCCACCCTAGGGTTCGTTCCCATGAGGTCTCAGCTATTAGTTCTTCATATTTATTGAAGGTTTCCTTCTTGAAGTCAATGTTAAACAATTTGATGCTGTCACTTTTTCCTAAGTATCATCACATCATTTCATAACTATTCCTGTTTACACTCCCTCCAGCTTTCAGAGAACCAGCCAGCTCCTCCCATTCCCTTCCTTTTGGAGGGAATCACTTCTGAAACATCCTCCTCTCCTCTCCAAAAAGTTACCCACCTCTGCACCAAAACTCTGTGCCAGCTGAGTAGGTCGTGTTCCTCTACACTTCTCTCCAGCTCTTCCTGTGCATAGATGGAATTCTTCATTTACCACCATATCCTTCCTCTCAGAAAACTGTAATTTTTTTCTTTTTTTTTTTTTTTCTTTTTTCATGAAAGGCTACCCTTCTTGGTTTGCTATGCTCGTGTTCATTACCTAGTAGCATTACTAAGAGTTCTGCAATTTGTTCATCTCTTTCTTCAAGCTGCATTTCAGACCATGTAGTCAAAGAAGGAAAACTTCTGTTAACCATACAGAGTTAGTTTTCTATTTCTATTTCTATTTCTATTTCTATTTCTATTTCTATTTCTATTTCTATTTCTATTCTTTTCTATTAATATTCCAGCCTCATGAGTTATCACAGCACGCGTCTATTACACCTATTAAATTATGTGTTAAGATAGCTAGTTCTTCCTGTTTGCTCACTCTTGCATTAGCAAGTGTCTAAGCTCTTCAATGCATTGAAGTGCTAGCTTTCCTCCTTTTCCTTAAATGACCCTGTAAATACACAGCATCCCTAATTTTTATGTCCTTTTTCAGATCACCATTTTTTTGGTCTCTGTCTGTAGGCTATTTCATCAAGTCCTCTAATTACTAGTGTAAAGCTATGTTAGCAGGCAAATGGGCCTTTCTCCTTCTTCAGGCACATCTAACAGTATCAGTCATTTTGGAATCAGCTGCCTTCTGCCCCAAATGGATGATTCAGATCAACCACAGTGGCTTCATTCAATACCCTCAAAGTGCTTAATCCTTCACTGCTTTCCTCAGACAAATTTTTCTTATCTTCACAATGGGGAGAACAATGTACCAAGAGATCAGAGTCACTTATCTGGTGTCCCAGAGGAAAACAGAAGCAGAGCTCAAGAGGTTCAGACTTGCTGGGCTTCAATTATTGTGTTGTGTGTTCCTTCAGGAATTTTCCTGAGAACAACTGGTATTCTTAAATCCGATGAAAGATAAAGCTATTTGTGAAAAACAGAACTTCCCAACATTTGCCTGTTTCCTGCCATAGAGTAAGTGCTACCCTTATCCCCTCCTCAGGAGCTCCAAGCCTAGCCCTAGAAGAAGTGCCACAGAAAAGATAAATGGTGTTAATGTAAATAGGAATAGATGACAAAGCTTTGGAGAGCCTCGGTGTCACCCGACAGCATCTGAAGTCCTTAGTGGCTTTCTGTTCTGTATGCAGAAGCGGATATCCAAGTGCTCCAGGCAATAGCTGAACACGCCCTGAGCTCCTTTTCTCTTCCCAGGGCACACTGAGGGAGCAAGAAGCCATCCCCTTTCTCAGGTTGCCGGCAGGGTCTTTGCAGCCAGGGAAGAGGCACTTGACACATGGATTTGAACTCAAGAGTCTCAAATGCACTTAGAAAAAAGCTGACACGTGTATGTGCCCCAGTGGGGAACAGAAGCCTCTCAGAACAGTGAGAGATGCACTCTCCAAGTGGCTTTTATGTCAGAAACATTAATGGCAGCAAACGGCTCTGGGATGGCACAGAAACGTGAGACAGTGGGACATGAAACAGAACAGCAATGAGAATCCAGGCACTGCACTCCCATAAGGCACCTAAGGGCAGGTTTTCTGTGATAACCCTTTCTTAAGGCCCCAGGTAACTGTGAACCTGGTTCAAAACTGAATGGAGTCTTTGCCTGCCATAGCCATCCATCTCTCTCAGAGGCAGTGTCCCTAAAGGCCAAAATGTGAGGCTAATTCCTAGTGGCGAGAATTTAATTTTTCCTGCTGGGTAACAGCCAATATCTTTGGCTAAATCAAGAAAAAACACAATAAATTTCACAGGGAGCCTCATCCAACAGCATCAGCAATGAGAACTTCTTGTCCTCTGGCTACACCAAAGGAGAACCACTCTGACCACATGCAC